TTTACGTTTTCAATTAATTTAGGTCTTCCTTGTTGATTTGTAAAAAGGAACGTTTGAAGCATGTTTTGATGTTTTTGTTTGTAGATAAAACTTTTGAATCGTTTTTGGAAGAATCTGAAAAAAAAGTCAAACAGTTTTTCTCAAAAAAGAAGGTTACAAAACGTCAAAATGTACATTAGTTTTTCTGAATTGCACTGAAATATGTTTGAAGTTAAGTAGTTTAATTTTTCTGGCATGTTCTGAGGGGGTTGACCCTAGGATATCTATATAATATGTACAAAGAATTCATTACTTAATATTTGTATGTTGCAAACAATGGAGGTTAAAAAAATGATGTGGAGATTTAGAAGTTTTAGAAAAAGTATAAAATCAAATTTTTGACAATTTTATAAAATTACATTCACTTTTATCAAACGCTAATAAACAGTGAATTGGCAATCAATACAAAATAAATTCAATTTTAAGGAACGAAAACTTATTGTTAGATTATTTTAGTGAAAGGTTGACTATACCATCGTGTATGAAAGAAGTTACTCTAACTTAGATTTGATAAAAAGTTAAACCTTACAGCTAACTTAGTGTTTTTGAAGGAAAACCTTACACATGGTTTTACTTATTTTTATTATTTTTAATATTATTTGTAGGCCTTTTCAAAAGGTGGTTAAAAATTGACAATTTTTCGGCTATTGCGCCATTTTCAAGTACATAGCTTATTTATGGAGAATATTTTAATTTTACAATAACACTCTTTCTTTAGTCCTTAATAGAATTTTATGAATATGTTATTATATATTGTTAACATTTACTTTAAATAATTGTTTTATTATATTATTTTACTAACCTAAGTCTAAACATTTAGACTATAAAATCCATTATGTTTAGTGGTCTGATTGACCAAATTACTTCTTTCAATTAATTATTCTTTTTATGTAAGGTCGAGGATGAAATGAAAAAGCTCGTGACGCTGGCTTTTTCATTTCAACCAAGACCTTACTTAAAAAGAAATTACACTATTGTTTAAATATTAACCTTTTCACGAGGCTAAGCATGATATCGATTATATGTTCTCTTTTATGCACTATTTAATTGAAAACTATAAGAAACCGATTTTGTTATGCATGGTAAGCTTACATAATTTTTCACACCTGTAGAAAATCATTAGATTTTTTAAATAATTCAATTGTATTATGGAATCTAAGAATTTCATGCATCCTTTGTAAATACGTTACGTTGTTTCATATCGTTGAAGCTGGCGATAACATCTCTTATATTGGGTCAATGGAGTTGCATTATTATATCAGGAAGGAAAAAGGAGTGAATGGATATACATAATGATCGAAGTATAGCTATTTCGTTTCCTTTAAACTTTAACTCACACAAGCATAATTAAATTTCCTCAGGTGTAGGTTGTTCTGAATCAAAATTAATCAAAAAGCTTGCACCACTTCCGTTTCGGCCATTCAGCAACCTGTTATAAAGCAATTACCTGAGGTGAACGCGCCTTTTGAATTGGGATGATGCTTTTGTTGTTGTAAATGCAGCGTTACGCAACCAGAAATGGGATAGTGGAATGTACGTGCTGCTCCGGCGGCACCATTTTTCCTAATAACAAAGCGAAACTGCCCATGACGTGCTACTCATGCCGAAGCGTTTCCACTATTTATGGTTCATTTCCTGCGTATAATCGAAAAACCATCCTTTTGTGAATTTTAAACAAAATTATTTGCATATTTGGGAACAAAGTTTTAAGCGTAGTTTATTTAGTATAGAACATATTCTATACCTCTTTAGAGAGGTTTTATATATTTCAAAAACCTACACGTGATGGTCAGAAATCAATTTTGTTTATTTATTACACAAAGACGGTTTTCATCGCTGTGATGAGAGTGAGTGAAAACCAATGGCGCTTTTCCCAGCTAGTTCTGTTTAATCTGCTTTTATTCACTTTGAACAGAAAATAAAATTATATTAAAACGTGAAGTCGTGTCGTACTTTGTCCTAGTTCATGTGTGAATTTTAGCATTGTACTTTCCTCGTTTGCTACGGTATTATTTTCTCGACGTGCGTGCTGTGGTCAAGAGACATTTTCACTTGGTGAGTAATTCTCGCTGGGTGTTACTAAATCTGTCAAAATTTCTTGTACCTATTTTTCTTCAAAACATCCAATATTGGGGCATGCAACTTGTAAAGCAACGTTATTGGATGAGAATTTTTTTTGCACTTTAAAATATATTTCTTTTCAAAGCCTGAAAGGAAACTCTTATATTGCCTGTGGTCATGTTTCATGTCTTAATTTCTGCTTTGAAATGTATCTGATAGAGTGTGTTCCAATTCCGCACTTACCTTACCTGCTCTTCTTTTTAGATCATGAATATGTTACGATTCAAATTTTGCGTTCTGAGATATGTTTTTACGAATCTAGCATAATACTCGTCTCAACATGTCAGTGTGTCTTATTTTCAGAATTAAAGGTGTAATTGATACTTTGTGTGCCATCCCGAAAAAGTGTTCATGTTTTTCAGTAGAGTAACTCACCTTTTACATACATGAATATGGCACGATTTTTAGTTTTCTTATCCATTCTAAATCTGTTTTTTAACGATATTTCACAATTTGCCTTAGTCCAACAAGGCACGTTAGTGTGTCTTATTTTCAGCCTTATACATGTAATTAATTGCTTGTTTGCCACCCTGAAGATGTGCTTAAGCATATCAACGACTCAGCTCATCTTTAGATATTTTTATTATCTGTAGATATTTTTATTAACTATATCTGTACAGAGACATCATAGTAACCTGTGCTGCGTTTTAAAGTGTAAGATCATTCAATTTTTCGTGTACACATTTTTATGCTCTTCGTACATTAAAGAAAAATAAATTAGTTTATTACTTTATAGTCTACTAAAAAATGTATATTCATACATTTTAATATTGATAAATATTTAAACTCGAATATTCATACATTTCCATATTCATAAATATTTAAACACAATTTTGACGCTATTTTACATATATAATTATTTATAATTACAATTAATTTTCTGAATCAATCTTTTTAAAAGATTTCTTGCCATTTTACATACGATAGAATGAACTTGGTAATCTGCAAATAAAATTATAGATATCATTAAAAAAAGTTAATTTTTAATAAATTTAATAAATTAAAAAAATTATTCCAAAGTTTATCTAGTGGATATATTCCTGGAAAGCTTGACTAAGGAACTCAAACCTTTTTTTTTAGTTTAGTATACAAATGTTCAAACTATTAAAAATTTGCATAATTACTTTATAAAAATTGGTATATCATTTCTTCCTAGGAATGTTTACAGATTTCTTATTATTATAGTCTTGTATGAATGAATCCTATTAATAAATTAGTTATGCTGCTCGTGTTTACAGAAAAATTAATAATGAGAAATGGTTAATTTCAGTTCAGCGAGTACGAAAATATGAACATTCCGCACCAATTATTTTAATAATGTGCCTTTTATGGTATATTGTATAAACGGCACGAATATATATTAATTATGTGGGAATTAGTTGAAAAACTTAGAGAAATTATTCATTTATAACGAAAGAGAGTTCAATTTCAATTAATTGTGAAAATTCATTTTTTATTATAGTAGAAGTAATAAATTTATTTATTTTTTGTCTGTATTAAAACGCGTCTGACAGAACCTAGCAAGGATAGGCAGTCCAAATTGATTGGTAACGACCAAATTGCAAATTGAATTATTTATATTAGTTTAGTGGGAATAATTAGATAATTGATATTCAAAAATAATTAATTTTTAAACCGTCTATTCATTTCTTATCCAAATATTTTGTATTTAGTTAACAAGTACTAAGCTAAAGCATAACTAGCTATAGATTTATCTGTAATCTGTTCTACTGGCAGTTCTAGTATTATACTTTAATCCAGATAAGGACATATTATGGTCAGGGATCAAACTTCACACATTTTTTATTCATGTATTTATATTTACAACTACATATGTATTATGAACAACCAGCAGTTTTTATTTAATCTTGACCAAAAATGGCATTATACAGAAGGCGCTACGGATTGCTAATTTAAGAGGTCTCTTATCTTAGGGTAATGTACTTTGAAACCATTTGTAATAGGTTTTATTTGATGAAAACAGTTGACATGTGAAGATTCTGTGAAGTGTTACATAAGAAAGGGCAGAAACAATTAGTCGTTAATTCTATGAGTGAAAACTTTGGAATATTTGGCCACTCCGTAATCTTGGCAACAGTACATTCAGAGGTTTGAGTGAATAAGTGCATATGTCGAAAGTTTTGATTTTAATGGTAATTTTGATCGTCGGTTCAGTCGGTAGTAAAACATTTTAACCGTTTGATAAGTGTCTGTTGTTTTAATCGTGTGTGCGAAGTCCAAGTTAGTTTCCTATCAAATATAAGTCTTAAGTAGGTAACTTTGCCATTGGAGTTAAGATGATGTGTTGTGGCTTAGAAGGGTTCAATTTTATTTTTGAAGGGGTGACTTGTTAATACGGTGGTAAGTGCATGTGGAGATTTTTCTCATTTCTCACCTCCTGTGGCATAGTTGGAAGCACTTCCTTTATTTCAGAAGTCACTGATCCAAGGTTTACTTAAAATTATTACCCATTGAGATATGATTTTAAGCAAAATTTGAATACATTTAATCAAAAGAATGTATTATTATTTTAATATTCCATTTCTCAGTTTCAAGTGAAAAATGGCTTGAAAAGTTGCATCACAAGGCCAAAAAATATAATTTCCAAAATAGCATATTACACTAAAGTAGCGAGCTGGTCTTTTAAAATAAATTAAAACTATAGTAAAGAAAACATTGAAAAGTATGTAAATACCTTTTTTAATACCGCAAAGGGAAAAGAGAGTCGAACAATTGCAACCAAACCGGAACCCTTTGGTTCATGAGATCCTGTGAACACTGTCATTAACAAGCTGAGTATCCTCTCCAGGCGGGACTAATTGGCCACAATAAAAACGGAAAACTGTCTTTCCTCCTTTATTAACACTTTTCCTTTCAATCTGACTCCTTTCTCGCCTACTTACAGGTTACCAATTGACAGGCTATTCGCGTGAAGGATTTACAAAAGATAAAATTTTGTGTACATTGTCTTTAATGAGCGATTTGGTCAATACTTTGCAATTCGAGTGATTCTAAAATAGTATAGGGCATTTTGTATCTTTTGAAAATAACAGAGCAGTTTGAAATATTACACAGCAATGAAAATTAAATTAAGCCTAAATTAGTGACAGATTAAATATTGGCCATTGACAGCAATTGCTTTAACAACTAAGCAAATACCCTGTCAAGAAAACTTTTATTTAAGGAAAAAATATATTATTTCTTGTAAAAGTTACAAGCCAACATATAATATTTTAAGACTTAGAATATCATTATTTTACTATTACTACTTATTTTGATTAATTTTTAGAAATTCACATTTGTCGCACGTTTATACGATCACAAAAAGTGAAGTTTTCTGACTCCATCTAGGAAAAGGTGATGTGCCCCTTAGTACTACAGTCGGTATAAATTAATAACTTGTAATCAGGTTATTAATTCATAATTTACATTTATAGATTATTATTTGCATCAATGTGCAATCACAGCTAGTGTAAATTGTTGAATTCCACAGAAGTCCCTTTCGTTCATTGCGATCCTCGCGTAGCCATCCTCGCCCCAATCGGTCCCCCAAGAGTTCTTGACGAGCCAATAATTATAGCGCTCCTCGGTTCCGAAACCAACCAGGACTGATGCATGATTTATATCGGTACTATTGCACGCCGGATCCTCGTAAATGCCTTTTAAAAAATAAATAAAGATAATTAAATAAAAGTTTCATCACAGATGTAGAAAGATATGACATTTTTTATCATTCATTGACTTTGTTAAAATTTAATGACTTTATGAATATTTCTAAAAGGTTTTGCTAATAAAGGAAAAGATAAATAGCCAATGAATTGAATCCTGTTCATTGGTGAATAATACCTTTGTCATTTTCAGAGAAACCTATTTCGATCACTCTTGCACTACAATGCGCAATCCTTTTATTGGCTATTTTCATTTTCTTATTTATTATTACTAGGAAAATAATAATATTAGCATAGAACGAATAAATCAATAAGTCACGGTATAAACCTGAACGTGGTCCGCGGGGGGGGGAGATTCTCTGTAACCAAATGAAATTTTGATATTCCAAAATTTACATATCTCAATATTTTTATATACTGCGAATAAACAATATTAGACAACACGTTCTACGTCATAAAAAAATTAAATGTGAACTCCCTAGTAATTTGATATTACTAGAAAGAGTTTTTACCCACCGATTTCCTGAAATTTCTTGAAAGGTTTGATGTTTTGTTATTTTTGTTGTAATATCTAATGTTATTTTTTATCTTGTAGAATAAAATTTTATCAAAATTGACCTATTTTTAATATTTATCAAACATCCTAATTACTACAGTTTATAATACCATTTACTACCTAACCCTACGTTTCCTTCTGCCGATAAGTGACCTATATATCCTCGTATGTTACCTATCTAACCGCCACCTTTCTAATTCATTGAATCCTCACTGGTGTTCTCCAAGGGTGCATATTAAGTTCATTTACTTTTCAGCACATAAAATGTAAACATTCCTCAGCACTCTAACACATCCTTAGTTGCTTTGGATACAGCTTTCCTCTCTGCAAGCTCGATCCTGCCCTAGCATTTCATTCCTCTAATACCACCTCCTTACCTTAGTATCAAGGTTACGTAAATGAGAATAAAAATCGACTAAACAAATCCTAAAATGTGCCCTTTAACCTCAAACACAAAATACTCCATCCTGTTTATCTGAAACAAATTTTACTTCCTGAGGCAGATCGCGTCAAAATAAAAAACGTTGGCAAGGAATTCACATATGCGAAAATGGCAGAATTTACTACAGATACATGACAACTAAAAAACTGCTAGACACGTTCATGGCTTACTATTCACAAAAGAAAAGAAAAACGAGAAAAAACGTCCCACTGCTTTTCTAGACATAGACCGACGGACTGGAACTGTAAGGGGCTGCTAAAGTCAAATCAAGCTGCTGGATCCAATCCCCTCCAGTCAAAAATCTACTGCGCAATCACAGATGTCTCTTTCTTTGTTAGTAACCATACTCATCACTCTCCGCCACATGCCCCGTCAAAAATTAAAAGTTGAAACAGGTAGTTAATTGAGGCAGTAAAATTATATAAATATGTGGGTGTTTCTATAACGCCCTCCTTGAAGTTTGATACCCATTTAAAAGAGAAATTGACGTTGACCAAATTCAGCAAAAATAGTGTTTGGCAGAATCTAATGCCTCACCCTTAAATGTTTTTTGACCCAAAATTCAAAGTGTTTTCCACAAATGGTGACACAAATTAAGTACGTTTCTCTCTTCAGAAAACATTAAAATAGCTTTTAAAACTATTACATACACTATTACACATATTAACTAAAAAAACAGTACATACACTTTTCCTAAGTCAAAGACCCAACAACAAAAAATCCGATGAAATTTATAAAATCAATGTATGAACTGTCCAGCAAAATTCATTGCAATTATATCGCAGTATATAGAAAAACGGAAAAAACAACACATCTATGACTGTAAAACAACAAAGACCAATCCCACAGCATTGGCCACACACCACATTGAAGAACAACATAACACTTTGTTTTCGATAAAATACAAATACTAAACACGGAAAAAAAAATACAAATTCAACTTTCTAGGAATAGTTTACATTAACAGAGACACACTGCATTAAGAAAAGGCTCAGACGTAACTACGCCAACATCATAAAGAAAATAAATTATTAAACCTTATGTTATATTTCCCTTTCCTTCGTTATCGTCCATAAAATTTAACATCCTTTCCAATATTGAATGCCGAATCATAAATCCAATCCAGAAAACCATCATTCTCGAGTTCCTTTGAGTTAAATAAAACCGCCTATGATCAAAGAAAATATCCCAGATTTACCCGTCCTCCGCCTTGTCACAATCATATAAAAACAGCAGATCACAAATTCACGGTTCACAACACTTTCACACAAAACCAATATGACACCACCAAAATAACAGTGAGTATGAAATACTCGGTTCAAAATATGTATTTACAACTGTATTGTATTTTTTCCAATCAACATACATTTTGTAATTTACCCAGGATCTGAAGATGGCCAGAATAAAGGTCAAAACGTCGGCAAAAAAAGAAAAAAAAAGTGTTTTTCTAAACTTCTTCATTCTTGGCCGATCCTCACATCAACAAACTAAGCAATATTAATGTGGTACATGTAGAAATTAAATTAGCTGTAGTCACAAAGAAGTGATTTAAAAAATTCATCAAGCCTGTCTGCTCTGGATAAAGTAAAAGCCAATTTTGTTAAAATAAGGTTTTTTTAGTTTTTGTCAAGCTTCTTACCGGAAGAGTAGAAAAGGTAGGAGAACTGTGTGGCATCGTAGGCCGTTATGACTGGGCCGTTTTTGAAAATGCTCCATTTTATCGAGTTTGGGGGTACAAAATTACCTCTCGTAATTTTAAAATGTTCTATTTTTTCCTGAGTGCAGTTGTTCACCTAGAGTTTTGGATCTGAAAAAATTTGTTTTACACTTTTCACCGTTTGAAAATTAATCTGTTACCTTCTCCTCGTATGGGTACGACGACTCTGTTGCTAGACCTCTGTTATTTTCGATAAAATCGAACACTGTTAAGGGCGATCCTCCGAGGCAAGGATTTTCATTATATTCGTACCCTTTTTTTGCACAATCGAGGAAATTTTGAGCACTGAGTGATACCAATTTTCCCCTTTTCAAAAACAATTGACTCTCCAGTGCGGCTAACTGTAATACTATGGTTAATAAATATCAATAAACTTTGTTATCTAATTAATTTTTCTTAATAATAAACAAAAAAAACTTCTTGTGCAAACATAATTACGTCCGATTGTTTTCAAATTGATTGTCTGCTTTCGTCGAATAAAGAGATTCCTTTTACCTTTTACGTTATACGGACATTCACCCAGAAGTGTTGTCACTCCCAGATGTGCTGACCTTAGTGTCTATACATCAGGGAGTTCACCCACCCCGTTATATGGCTGTGTCGCTGGTATCCCCCTTAAGCCAAATGGCAAAGAGATAATCGCTTCCAGGGTTAGGCTCCGACAGGGGGCTATCGACAGCTAAGTCATTTCATTCCCAAACGCTTGCAATGTACAATCTAGCCTACTTATACTTAAATTTGATAGATTACTCACATAAATAAATACAATCGTACATTGTACTCATACTTATTGGTCGGTGGAGGACCTCCATCAACCTGTACACATTATTAATAATCTAACCTATATTAGGGTCGATGAGGTATTTTATAAATATTCCGCCGTCGACCCTAGACACACACACATACAGATAGAGGGGCGTTGGTGACGCTATATTTCACCATCACCCCTCACCACTCCAATCACACTAATAAACACAAGCTCTCAAACAAAACACATAATGACAAAACACATGGAATATACTGTAAAATATTCTCACATCCTCTAAAAAACGGCACAGGGGACCCAGAAAACGTCTGCTGTGCTCGAGAACCATTGTTAAATCAGGCGGCATGCCTGCTTGCTCACTGTATGGTGCCAAGGCAGACACGCCTCTATTATTTGCGACAAATCGAGCAATCTTTCTCTACATTAGGGGCACCTGCGCGGTCCAACCGCGTATGGCCAGTCCTCAATCGGGTAAGGACGAACCCTCGTCTCCTGCTCAGGTTCTCTGAGGGCAATCTACCGGTCATGCTCATGACTCGCAAGAGCCTGTCGGACGACCCCGCCCACTGCCACTGCCATCATTCTTTTATCACGTTCTTCACTAATATCTTGGGGTCAGAGGGGCTGATCGCGATTGTCCGGTCTGGGCTTTCGCCGCCTCGTCAGCATGTTCGTTACCCTCCAGACCGACGTGTCCGGGAACCCAGACAACCACTTTTTTCCAAGGAGTTCGGCCTATTTCTCTAACAAGAGCATAAATCTGTCTCATATAGGCAAATAGCGCTCAGAGGACGGTACATGCCTTCGGTACAACGCTGAGGCCCCTCGGTCCGAATCGCCTCAAGAGCGTGTCAAATCGCATGCAGCTCCGATTGTATACGCTGCAATGAGGGGGCAACGACCAGAAGGTGGCCACTCCCTCGCTATACACGGCACACGCCACGCCATCGCCGGTCTTGGACGCGTCTGTAAAAACCAGACAAAAACCAACGTATCTATTCCTAACTTTAAGAAACTTTGTCTTGTATAGGTATGGCGAGTACACGATTTCGGTAAGTTCGCCAGATCGTCGCGAACGAGTATGGCCGGAAAGCCCAGGGGGTGTTGGCCAGTCGCGCAGCCGAAGGCTAAGGCTTCACACCGAAGCAAATCCAGAGGAGTCGCGTCCGCGATCAAAGCCTGTCGTAGACAACTCTGTTCGGGCACTCTAGGATCGTCCTACGGAGAGGGTGCCGAATCAAGAATCTCCAAACGCGTAACCGAGAGTAAGCTGCTCTCTCCGGCGTTCGGGAGGCAGGACACACCAGCTCGCAGCACAAACTAACTAAGAGGGTAACTAACTGCCACGGGAATAAAGCCCCACGTAGAACCCTGTGAGGAAGTTTGCAAAATGTATATACTAACAATAGAGTAAGAGAGCAGTCAATGTTTAGCCAGTAAGACAGATGTATATTTGAGCTGACACTTTGCAGTTGGTCACGAGTCAGTTACAGTTTAGGTTAGTGATAGATTTTATGGAATGAGCGAGCTTTGGACGGGAGTGTCTAACTCCGCCTTAGATATGAATTTTAAACAATTAATAAACGTTGTGTTGAAATGTGAAGACTTGAATTAAATTTTTATCAATTGGATTTTACATTAGATCAAAATCGTGTCCTGACATGTTTACAGCACTATAAAGACACTTTTTCAAATTGTTTTAAGTCATGACACATCTGCATTTACTTTTGTTCTTAAGAGCTCAAAATATTTAAATATTATATGAATGTAACCTAAACGTAAAGGCGTGTAATTTAAAGGAGGTTTCTACAACCTATTAGATTAGGGAAATCAGTTATAACAAATCAATAATTTTAAAAAGCTGCAAATTCTTTTGAATTCTTTTTTTGTCTCAAAAATACTAGTTTTTTAAAGTTGTTTTTGTTATATGTGAAAGCATAACCATACTTACACTGCTGAAGATGTAGCACGAACCACAAAGGCCTTGATCTTTAATAGGTGTTACCGCACCTTTTTTCACCCAGTCAACGTAATCAGGCACCAATTCATCGATACTTTCGTTTGCAACATTCCTCTTTGCTCGTAAACCCCATCTCTTGTCGATAACTTCCATGCTCGATTTGCCAAAGAGAGCTTTTATTTCATCCGGTGTCTTGAAAATAAAACAGAAAAATTACACTCTATCTTACATGTGGGAAAAAGGTTGCTCACAAAATCGGCGAAATGGTTGATTTTAAGGCTGTACGTCATGAGGCCTTTTTCGTATTTTGCGTTATGCTCGTCTATCGCCTTTTTGTTGCTAATGAACACCTCACGGTGGATGGCTTCGTACTCGTCGTTGTTGTACGTCCGATTGTATTTTTTCTGCAATTTTTTCCCTTCATAATACAACGGAACAAACCGAAAAACAGTGGTACGGGCCTACCTTAAACATTTCCCATTCGGAATCAGACTCAGCCAGTATGGATGAAATTACACAAACAAATATAAACAACTGCATTATTCTGGTAAAAAAAAGAAAAGAAAAGAAAATAGACTAAAAAACCCTGCAACAGTTTCCGCTGGTGGAATGAAGACTGAACATTCGCAATATTCTGTTATCCAGTACAGAGATAACCTTTACTATCAAAAGGAAAAAAATCGTAAGCTGTTTATACGCCCTTATTATAAGACTATTAAATGTTCAAATGTTGTAATATCAAATTAGAACAAATTTATTTAGTCTATTTCAAATCTTTTAATTTCATTATCCATTGCTATATTTATAACCCAAAAATTTATGTTTTGTATTGCAGGCGAACAAAGCCTGACAGAAGTTTTAAGAAAATTAAAAAACTACCAAACATTTTATTAAAAATATAGTTGCATTTGGTATAAAAATACTACATCTTTTTGTGTTAAACAAGCTTGAGCGATGTGAATTAATTTATATAAGACCAGTATTGGTATATTGTATTCTATAATTATTAATTTATTGTTGTATGTGACACTTTTATCCATGATATTAGTCTGAGTCGAAACTCAGAGATATTTTCGAGCAAAAGGTTTGCTATATAAAAAATAATCAAATATATCCCTAAATTTTAATCTAATTTTTGTAATAGCGTAAAAAAATTTTATTGTACATATTTGTGTATTTATAAATCAACTTTGATTTAATATTCTATGCCCTTTCAAAGATTAATCCTAGAAATAGAAATAGACGGAATCTTTATCAAATTAGTTTTTTTTTCTTCGTGAAATCTCAATATGGCCAATGCTGATAAAAATTGACATATATATGTTTATCTTCATAATGTGATAGCTGCCTAAAATAAAATTAAGAATTAATTATGATTTCAATATTCAAAGTTTATAAAGTTTTCAATGCAAAATTTTTAGACTAATCGTTTCTGCCCCTTTTTACGTAAGCAATAACACACTTCACAGGGATCTTCACATATCAACAATTTTTTCATTCATCAAAACATATTATAGACGTTGTCATAGTAAATACAAAATCATCACACTAACAAGTAAATATTTTATGATTACTCCATTCCACACAATTACTACGAAAGCGGCTGAAAAGAATACGGATAAGAGACCTGATGGTTGTATATAACATATGTACAGTTGTAGATAAAAATAAATGAAGTTTTCCATTAAACATATTTTACCCGTTCAAATTAAAGATCAATTTTTACAGGCCAATTTTTTTCTATTAAAAAGGCAAATTCCAAGATAATTTTACAGAAATAAATAATTAACTTTCCATACTCTAAAGCTGTGTGCTGAATTCTGGGCCAACAAAACTATATATCTAAAAGCATTAGAAATTGAATGGAAAAAATCGTATGATATGGTTTAATTCGCAATATACAGAAAATTGTTAAATAGAAATTAAACTTCTGCTAGATGGGTCTATGAAAAATAAATAAAAGTTGCTTTCAGTACGCTTTGTCTTAAAACATAAAAAATTGAAAGATAATACAAAAGACTATATATGACTTTGTGTAAATTATTGAGTGCTTTATGAAATGTGTGCAACTGATGAGTAGAACAATATTATAACGTATTTTTTCAATTAATTCGTCTTTATGAAAGGTATTGGCCGAGATAAAAAAGTCAGTGTCACGAGCGGGATTCGAACCCACGATCTTCGCCTAAATAAGCTGCTGCTCTACCACTTGAGCTATCGTGACTTCGATCCGCTTCCCATCACCTCTCGAAATTTTCCCTCCTTTTTGCCATCTAATCCCACTCGTGACACTGACTTTTTTATCTCGACCAATATATTTCAAAAATACGAATTAATTGAAAAAAGTTAATTGGGCAATCGGACCACGAACGGATGGATTATAACGTATAGTCATAAAGTATATATGTAGTAATATATGATTTTAAATTTTCAGGTTCTGCTTGCTTGTGTGCTTTTACTTCAACAAACCTGTACGGGGCAGTTGTTTCCCTTCTCGACTCTGAGGCAGTACATTGACCAAAAGTACGCAGAAAGCGCTACCGAAGAGGTCACGACGAACCCGCCACCACCCGTGGACGACTATAGGTACCTGCAGGAGACGACGATGAGCCAGACGTCACCTCCGTCGTTCAGCAACTCCGAGAATCAGGAACTTCGGAGCCCAAAAGACGAAATCAGAGTTGTCCTAGTCACTCCGAGGCCGAAGTACGTTCCACAGAGGCTCGTCCCTGAACCGAACGTGGACCCCAACAACAGTCGGATTCCATCGATTGGATTCACAATGAAAAGCTCTCCGATTAGGATATTACCGTTATCGGACGAAGAGTATAACATGAGCAGTCCGGAAATCACCAATTTGTCTCCGGTCACCTCCGAACCTCTGCAACGTCGCAAGCCTGTTATAAATTTGAAAAAAGAGGAAAAATTGACCGGCACTATCGTGGAAAGCGTTCCTTCTTTGTCAATAACTATACACGAGGGTTTTCATCCTAACAAAGGCATTTTAGACTATTTGGTCCCGCCTAAATTCCCCTCGGTATACGAAAAGCACATAAATCCGACCGAAAATTCAATCTCGGTCGTTTCAAACGAACCGCCGAAACTACCAGTTGGGGCCAAGATTAAAAAGAAGAAAAACAAAAGGAGGAAGAACAACCCGAAAGAGCCTGAAAGGAGCTCCACAAACGAAAAGAGGGTTAGAACACGTCAGAGGCAAAATATAACAAACTCCTCAAGAGAACCAATTCTACTGAAAGAAACTATGAGCCCAAATTTTCAAATTGTCTTGAGAGATCCGATAGACACCCAACCTTCAGACACGAAAACAGTTTTTCATAAACAACCCCCTAATCACAAACATCGACAAGAGGTAAGATTAAAATTTCTGCTATTTTCAGATCAAAAATTACTGTCAAAACCTTTAGTGCATGTTATTTCCAACATATTATACTTCAGTAGAATGTCTCTGAAACATCCCTCTCACACACATTCAGTCACGCATACAAACTTTTCTTCTAGCATGAGGTTCACTTATTCGTTTTCTCTTTCTTAGGCTAATGTTGTTTGTCTTTTTCACAGTTCTCACTGTTTGCATCTTTTCATAATTAGACTAATTTATGCAATGTTGCCAGGATGTTGGTCGCATGTTCATCATAACATCAATCACGTCTTGGAAAACTCCAAGCTCCATTTTTCTCTTTTTAATCATTGCTGATCTATCTTTGTTATGTATGTTTGTATGTTTGTTTCTATATGTTGCTTTCTTTTTTTACTCTCTCTCTTTTCTCTCTCTCTCTCTCTCACTCTCTCTCCCTTTCTCTCACTCTCTCTCTCTCTCTCTCTCTCTCTCTCTCTCTCTCTCTCTCCCTCCCTTTCCCTTTCTATCACTCTGCGTTTCTCCTTCTCCCTTTCTCCATCACTGTACCACAGTCTCATTCACTTTTTCTTACTCTTTCACTCACTCTTTCATTTTCATTTTCTCACGAGTAGAAAATAACGAAGAATCCTCTTCAATAAAATAAACTATGTGCAATTAATAGGTGCGTCAATTGTTTTGTGATGCTCTCTGCAAAGACCTTTTTTGTACATGTAATTGCTGTTTTGTACCATTTGAAAATAGGAAAACGACGAACAATGCAAGCGTTTCCGTATGAATTATTCACAAGCCTGTTCGACAATGTTATACCATTTCGTTGTGCGATTTCTTTCGCAGATCATAGACTATTATCTTTCATTAGTAATGAGTCGGAAAGGGAAAGCAACTATGAGAAGAGTTCCGTAGGATGACAGTCACGGCCATCGCTTTTCCGACCTTAGGCCATTAAAAAACTGAGCAAGCACTTTCAATGGCAAAAAAAATTAATGAAAAGATTCTTTTACTTTCTTAAATAATTCGTTCTTATATATTATAAATCAATAAATAAATCAGCAGGTTATGGGATATTTCAAAAGATATTTTTTTATGAAAATGAGGTTTTTCTTTCCGTATATTTTTTCTTTAATTGTTTTCTCTTAATTACTTAATTTATTTTTTAACTAATGATCGATAGTCTATGATTTGTCAAAAATGATGTCAAGTGAGCGTCAGTCAATTTTTTTAAATCTCAATATTTGCGTTAATCAATGTTGGTCATTTTTTAGTTTCACAAAACATATTTTTATATTTTTACGTTTCTTTTGGCAACTTACTAAATTTAGCAAGTTTGTCAGTTTTTAATGTACTATTGGACTTAAAGAAATTAAAAAATAACTTCTTAATACTTGGAATTCATATTGAACAATTTTATCAAAACGAAACACTGTATGTTTGCTTAATCCCATAACTGTTAGATATTTAACGATTTTAGTTCTTAACCAGCCTGTTCATAAAATGATATTTGTATGGAGGTATCATACAAAGAAGATTAAAAGTTCTCTTGTCATACTCACCATGACCCCCTCTTGTCAATTCGTAAAATATACAATTCTACCGAATGTTCAATTACTTGTAAAACTATTCGTCTAAAATATTATTTGTCCTTTGTTAGTAGATGTATATAGTTTTTTTTACGAAGGTTTGCAACATCAGAGGTCATATCAACCCTCAAAGTGCCGGTGTTTTTGAAAAGAAGCTCATTTGTAAGTATATCGGGTTCGAATGTAGGGCCGCTGGATTCGAACCCGGGACCTTTACCTTATAGTAAAGAGCGCCGTGACAACGCCTAAACCGTTGCGGCCACCGACGCCCTATTAGATATTTATATTACTAGTTTGACTTAGTCAACCTATTTATATTTTATGGTTTATCACAGAAGTTGACTTTTTCAAAACATTTCTCTTCATACGTTACCTTTTTAATGAACAAGTAGGCAATTAATAAAGAGGACAATAGCGAAAAAATAGTAATACTTAAATATATTTTTGAAAATATTGCTATAATCAAACCATATTTTGTCCCAGAAATTTCAACCTCTTTATAGTAGCAGAGTAAGTGTTTATATCAAAAATCTTGACATAACCAAATTTCACCTCTTCTTTACTGTTGTCTGTTTAATCGAGCCATGCTCTACAAAAAACGTAATCTGAACGAGGTCTAGACTGTGTCCTAGTTGAAGGAAAAATCTTCACTCAACCCACAGCATGACGTTTTTTGACAACGATCCAATTTTCACCACAAAATGTACAATAAACAACAGCTACAATCATTCAGAACTGTTTTCCGGTAAAGGTATAATTCTTGAAGTCTGATTCTGCAGTATCATTCCATCGTCTTTGACAGTGGAGTGGGAAACCTCTAATTTATCTAGAGTTTGTTCGAGGATCAGCGGCTGTTCAGAAACCATGGCTATTAAGAGATCGTACTAAACTAACTTTCCTTTCAAGGTTCACATCCCTCACTCTGATTTTTTGAAACCAGCCCTGTGGTACACCTTTTTTTGTTTTTGTCAAAGTTTCAAATTCAAAGAACTTCGTGAATTAGGTCAAAAGGATACAGATGAACTATTGCGTTACGTAAAACAATAAACACCAAACAAACAATTAATATTTCTAAATTTTTAATTATTTTATCAGCTTCTACTTAATTCTATACATACTCAATTAATTATACACAATTTTACATTTCGAAAAAATTGTGTATAATTAATTGAGTAACTAATATTTATGTTTTTCTAAACGTAAAGTTTACTTCCAACTACACTGAGAGAGAAAAAATTGGCAACACCCGTTTTTTAGTAAATACTTGAAATCGATATAATTTTTATTTTTTTATTGTTTACCGTTTGCTAGGTTATTTTTAAAGAAAAATATAAGTTATGGCTAAAAAAATTAAACTAAGAAAAACAATTTTACCAAAAATATTCATATAGAAACAATGAAGAAAATAAATTAATTATTCTTTCTAAGGACTTGGTTGAAATAAAAAGTCAGTGTCACGAGCGGGATTCGAACCCATGACCTTCGGCTAAATACGCCGCTGCTCTACCACTTGAGCTATCGTGACTTGGATCCTCTCGGACACCAACTCTCCATCTCAACCCTCAACCGTTCGAATTTACCCTCACTTTGCCATTTTCAAATGTCATGTAATCGGATTGGAGTCTCAGCGTATTATGAAGCGGCCACGGGGAGCTGTTTCGTGAAGTGATACTTCTTTTACTTTTTAAATATCAATCCATTTACGTTTTCGTAGTCAATTGATCAAGTTACTTCTTTCATCAATTAATTAATCTCTCTAAGGTCTTGGTTGAGATAAAAAAGTCAGTGTCACGTGTGGTATTCGAACGCACGACCTTCGGCTAAATACGCCGCTATTCTACCACTTGAGCTATCGTGACTTCTATCGAGATGAATGAAGAAAACATTCAATTCAGTACGGCGAATATCCACCACTTGCGTTGATCATTGCTTGCATTCGACGTGGCATCGCTTTTATGAGGTTTGAATGTAGTGCTGTGGAATATTTTTTTTATTACAACACTTCCATATTAACTCTTGGAAATTCTCTGGCATCTCTCGGCGACTTTTCGCCTCCTTTGACAACTCGTCCCAAAGATGTTCGATAGGATGTAGGTCGGTACTGGTCGCTCCAAGCATTGAATTGAAGCCCGTTTCAAGTGTCACCAACGATCCTAGCTGTGTCTCATGTATAAAAATAAAACCGTCGCTAATTAGTGGCATATAAGGAACAACTTCTGATACATCTTCAATGTACCGGGCAACTGTGGGGGCAATCAACCCTCGATGAAGATCAAGTTGGTGCGAGCTTCTGTAGCATGCCCAAACCATAACACCACCTCCATAACTTCTCCAGACGCGGCAATATATCGGCCTCCTCTTTTCTCCAAGCCCTCTCTCGACCGTAAGAAGACCTCGAACAAAACCTTAACTCATCTGAAAATAATATATTAGTCCAATCTTGCTCAGACCAATTGACGTGATTTCTGCCAAATTTAACCAAGCTGTTCTGTGCCTTGTCAGAAGTTCTGGACCAGTGGCAAGCCTTCTCGTGCGTAATCGGTAAAAATGAAAGTCTTCGCCCTAAAGTGCATAAACGAACATTAATATTTCTAACTTGCTGAACTCGTTGCTTGGTCTCAACAGCGGTAAAATATTAATAGCGGAGTACATAAGAAACAATAAAATAAATCATATGGGGCGTCGGTGGCCGCAACGGTTTAGGCGTTGACACGGCGCTCATCACTGTAAGGTAAAGGTCCCTGCATTCTAACCCGACATACTTACAGTTGCTTCGTTTTTTCAAAAAGACCGGCACCCTGAGGGTTTATATGACCTCTGGTGTTGCGAATCCTCGTAAAAAATAAATAAAACTATCATCTCTGTGAGTTGTGACACGTTGGCGACCTGATCCATGCTTTCTTGAGTAACCTCCAGTGTCTTGCTAGCGATTGATGACCCTTCGGTTGTTCTGGGAACATTTAGCACCATGGCCATACGCTTGACTTTTTCCATCTTCCAACAATGCTAATATTCTAACCAAATCTGTATCACTTAAAACCATGACTCAACAAATTTTAAAACTAAAAATATAACAAAAAATCATTGAATCATCATTGAAAGATTTACAAAATCAAAATTGAAAACACAAGTTGGAAATTTTATCTGTGTTTCATTTCCCTCTTCCTTGGATGGAGGATCGTCCAAGTGATAATTAAAACTGTTAAAAGTGGCCCCATTTTTGCCTCTCAGTGTACTACTATGTGTTTATCAGGGTTTTATTCCTTAATAAATAAATATAAATTTATTTTAGCGTTTATCACTTAATTTTTTCTTTTGACTTGGGAGCCCATCAATAATTTGACCGAATTTTGACTATTTGCTCCACTTCACCATTTGCAAAGATTAGCAATTTTAATTATAGATTAAATTAATTGGTCTAATTAGAAACTCTTTAGATAGTTCTTAGAAAAGCATGAACCACAGAGCATGTGCTAAAACTTGGTAATGATAAATTAATTCCTTCTATAAGGATGATTAATAGATTAAATCAAAAACTCATTTATATTTTTTGACTTATCGCTGCCAAACTATATTTTGTAAGAAAGTACACCGTCAATATTGTAAAAAAATTGATCGTTACTTGACCCTTTTGAAAATAAATAACAAAAATAAACATCATGTTTTATATTTGCCCACTTCCTCATCAAGTTATTTGTTTTTCTATTAGTTTTAGCTAATCTAGTTTCAGAAAATGTAAAACTACAGGAAAATACAAAAAATATTTAATTTTACGTTCAATTGAATTGTTTATAATTATTTAGGCCGAGTTTTGTACTGTAGTAACTTTCATATTCACATTTTCATAGGTCATATCGTCCAGTGTTTTTATCACTTGTCTAACAATACTGTCATTGCACGCTGACTGAGTTTTTATACCTGTCCAATTTCGTGATCGATGTCTTACATAAATTTCTCCTCGCGCGCTATTTTTTATTACATAAACGCACACAGCTGTAAATAGGACGGTTTTTCTCTCTGAGAAACCGTCCCGCTCCGATTCTCCGTACACCAGTCTGATCACGGCATCACGAATGTTTCAGCTCGCCGATTCCAGCCTAGCCGCGTCGACCATCGGCATGAGTGACACTGGAGAACGAGTCGAATTCCAGCTCCACGGGCAAAGCGGGCCTGAAACGTATAAATTCGGTTTCGACACCGGCGATGGGTAAGTAACACAAACCAGAAATAAACTCAAAATTATCATTGTTGGTGTATATCGGAAGCTGAACATCTGAAATAACTGTTATTGACAAAGAAAATCATCCCATGTTCATTAACAAATCAGCAATTGCAAATCGAAAATTAATTAGTACATTATTTATTATGTCTAAATTCAGTTACTTTATGAGACAAACAATACTAACAATTAAATTCACTAGTTTCGTGGTCCGCTTGACCAATTAATATCTAATAATTAATTAAGATTTTCAGTTGAGATAAAAAAGTCAATGGCATGAGCGGGATTCGAACCCACGATCTTCGGCTTGATACGCCGCTACTAGACCACTTGAGCTATCGTGACCTCGATCCACTCGGACACTAACTTCCCATCTCAACCACACCTTTTGAATTTTCCCTCCTTGTTTCCATTGTTCAAATGTCGTGCAATGATTGATTCTTGGCTCTCTCTCTCTCTCTCTCTCTCTCTCTCTCTCTCTCTCTCTCTCTCTAACAGACCAGGATGATGGGAAACTATGAAGCGAGATTTTTAATAATCATTGCTTTAATAAAGTCATGCGATTTGTTGACCCGATTTCTAAAGCCAAGCGTTGATCTTTCCTGGCTAGATTATTATTAATCACACTGTAAGATACAAATTAATAATTTTCTTCATTATTTAGACATGCAAATCGTTTTCTAATTTTTTTTTTAAATCTGTGAACTTATCATAAGTTGTTTACTTGTTTGTCATGGCCGACTAATAGAGATTCTTTTGAGAAAATTAAAAGAGACCCAGTAGGAAGAAGGTGGGAAGATGGAAAGAGAGAAGAAAGAGAGAAGAGAGAGAGAGAGAGAGAGAGAGAGAGAGAATACTTTATTATGGGACTAGAGTCCCCTTGTGACAAAAAGGTCACAAAAATTTTTCACAAATCTGAAACTTGAATTAATGAAGGTTTGACGTCAACACCAAGTAAAATAAGTTGAATGAAATCACATAATACAAAATATAAAACAATAGAAATAATAGTAATAATAAGATTTTATAGAAAATTAATAATAATAAAGAATTGTCTGTATAAATAAAATATTTTTATCTCAACAGGTTTTGTTTACAGGACATTTCAGAGGTTGGTCTTACCTCACCACAATATTTCAGGATGACTGAACATTTTTTTGCAAGTTGTAATTACAGCATAATATATTTAAATTTATAATAATTACGGCAATTGCTATGAGAATTGAGTGGTGTAGTGATCAGCAAACAAATATGAGATAATGCGAAGTCGTCGAGTAAAAAGCCTTTTAAATCTAATGTTACGCGTTTTCCTTAATAATTTCGTTAAATTAGTATTAAAAAAAGGTTGAAGGGTGTATTCAACAATACGGGTGATTTTATTCTTAATTATGAAGGGTTCATAAATTCTCGTAAATATGGTTGACAAATACTGAAATTATATATTCTATGCATAATAAACTTGATTACATAATAACTTTCAGTTTCAAAGTGAAGATCACCGATTTTAAATTTTTTAATTAAATTTTAATTTAATTAAATGAAATTTCTTTTGTGATACAATGCTAGGTTGAAAAATATTAGACGTATCCGACCGTTATAGAAATATATTTTAAGTTATTTTACATAGTTTTTTAAAATATATTTTTCTGCCTTTGTTGTTCATTTATTCCAAGGTTATTATTATGATTCCATGAGTTTTTTTTATTTTAGCATAAAAAAATAACATGTCAAATTAGAATAGATGTGTAGAAAGTTACAAAAATAAAAAGACGGTTCAAGTAGTCAATTTTTCCTGTAAACAGCCCATAAATAAGATTTTTTATGGCAAAGATACAATAGACTTTTTGGGCTATAGGCAATTATTTTCCTATATCCTGTTGTTCTATTCGAAAATCCAAACATACTTATTAATAACCCCCCTAAATTTAACGAGATGACAACTGCTGTAAATATGGATTGTAGTCCGTTCAGCAAGTAAGTTATTTTTTTAGCAAGAAAGAAAGCTGATATTCGTCTTAAGCATGCCTCAAAAAACCTATGCGAGCATTTTTATTTTTATTTTAGGTCATAAAATTGGTGATTACTCCTCCGATCTACCGGACACTTAGGAGGGGTTTAGAACTTTTAAAACTACACGGAAAAATACAATAGAAATAAAGTAAAAACCAATTAAATATCCTTTATATCTAAGGTTTTTGGTTGAGTTGAAAAGTTGGTGTCACGAGCGGGATTCGAACTCAGGACCTTCGGGTCAAGTGGTTTGAGCAGCGGCGTATGAGTCCTGGGTCCTGAGTTCGAATCCCCCTCGTGACACTAACTTTTTCATCACAACTAAGACCTTAGCTAAACACAATAATTAATTTGAATAATTAATATGGTCAATTATGACCGCTAAACATATGTGGCTTGTATAAACGTTCATCTTGGATAAAATACAAATATGATAAAATTTATTATGCATAATTTAAATTTCATTGCGATGAAAATGTATTGTTTTTTTAACGACTACAAGGTTGTAAAAGGATGTTTAAAACAAATCCAAATATATTTTTCTAATAAGTTTTTTACCCACTTTACTAGAATCGTCATTTGGGTTTTGTAATTTTTCATATATCTATCTCATTAATACGTTCCTGTCTTGAAATAAATGCACAACAAAAGCAGAAAAAATTAGAAATTATTTAAATTATTGTCTCGGCTCCCAGCGCCCATCGGCTCGGACGTCCATATTTTTCTGCTCAATATCACCAAAAACAGTTCATTAACATCGAAGATCCCACGTCCGTAGGTTGCCTTAGTAAGAAGGAATAACATGTAATATCAATATGGTAAGATTGCACAGCCGACTAAAGAAAGGTGCAAGTAAATGGGAATTCTACTGGTATGTTGCAGTCTGTAGTGGAAAATGAAAATCTGCAGTTATATTCAACAGTAAAAATACTTCTGTGCATGGAAAACCCAAGAACTCGGTAGCTCTTCCCGATCTTAAGAAAATAACTAGAAGCATAATTTGAAAGCATTGATAAAGCTAATTTTAACAGATATGCCAGTCCTTCTAACTTGCTCATATTGAACAAACCTTTTCTATTTACCAATCAATCAATTACATTTACCTGTATATGCGCAATTATCTGACTACTTTTGATGAACAGAATGACAGATAGCTAACTGATTTTTATGTAAATAATGTCGAATATATAATTTATATAAATGTTCTCTCAATTTCTTTACAGAAAAAATAGACACTTCAGATACGAGGAGAAAGACCACAACGGACACGTCAAAGGTCACTACGGCTACTACGATAAGACGGGGAAATTGCAGATCATGAACTACCTGGCGGACGAGCACGGTTTCCACGCCACCCCCGCATAAAATAAAAGAAACATGTGATATCCTATGTATTAAGAAAAGTTTTGTACAAAAATCTTTCAATATATTTTATTTGTTAATAAAAATATATGTATTTATGTTATTAAATAGTTTTGTGTTGTGTAATCCTTCTAAATTCTGAAAAACTATTAAAAAAATTGTATTGGTTTATCATTATCCTTTGACAGATGTTAAAATTATAATCTCCCATAAAATTTCCATAAATTATACATTTTTTGATCAATTTCGAGTTCAAAGAAAAAATATATTTTATCATATCAGGGTTTTTAGACAGTAGTCCTAGAATTAAATGCTTGATAAAACGAAGAGCAAATGAAAAAATGTCCAACTGGAATTGAAATGAACTATTCAAATTAAAATTGAAAAGTTCTCTTATAAAATAAACAATAAGTTTTCAATTAAGGTTTCAGTTGAGATAAAAAAGTCAGTGTCACGAGCGGGATTCGAACCCATGATCTTCGGTTAGATTCGCCGCTGCTCTACCACTTGAGTTAACGTGACCTCGATCCACTCGAAGCGGTTCGAATCCCGCTCGTGACACTGACTTTTTTATCTCAACTAAAAACCTTAATTAATTGAAAGATATTAATTGGTCAAGGAGACCACGAAAACTAGTGAATTTAATAAACAATACGCTTTTAAAACGCCAAATATTTCAGTACGAAGAACTCAAAAAAGACGAGGATTTTCAATATTAGCATGTAACAAAATTAATTTTGAGTATTTGTATAAATTGCTGTTCGATCTCACGGTATAAAAAGTACTTTATTAATGGCGTAAAAAATATTGGAACACCACTGATTTCGCTTTAAGGATTACCAGATGGACTATTACGCTCCTTCATTACACGTTCTGATAATTTCATTGTTCGCAAAATTATACAGTTCCTACCTTTTCATCCTTCGCCAAAATTTCTGACGTTAATTGCCGGATTGGCCGTCAAGTCAATCAAACCCGCATCCTCTGTATAAAAGGCAGATTCGACTGCGACGCTTTTTTGAACGTCGGCAGACCTCAAGGAGACATGAAATTGTTTCTGATACTTACAACTGCCTCGCTGGTGATAGTCATCACCGAGGTAAACGTCAAGAAGAGAACTGTTTTGTACAAGCGAAATTAACCCTTTGAAAAGTGTTTAAAATGTAGGTCGGAAAACGACGGCAAGACGATAGAAGAGTACGAGGACATCGTAAGGAGCTGCCTCAGGATGGAAGAGGATCAGAACGGTCACAGAAATAGGTGGAAGGGTAACAGGTACAACAACCACAGAGACCATAACTCTCAGAAAGGTATAACACTCAATATATGTTCATTTCAATCCGTTAAACACTGAAAATAAATCAATCTCAGAAGTTACTTTATAAACACAAAGTATGACGTAATTTTTTATTTGACTGCATGTAATTGTACCTAAACGTCTCCTTGTTATAACTTCTGACACTGAACAAAAAGAATTTTGGGGACTTAAATTAGTAAAAATATTGTATCAAATTGGCCAGTAACTTTCAGATAAAGAACTCCTTCAAACCAACACCAATGAGCATCTCACCTAATATAATCAGACAGAATCCAGAAAAAATCATTTTTTAGGGTTAACTCAATTAGGAACAACAAATTCTAAATAATGAATCGACAATCTCCGGGAAACAAATTTCCATACTTTATTGATCCAGAGGAGAAAACTAGATTACTGATTGATACATGATGAACCCGATGCTTTATAAAAAAAAGTTCATTGGTCTTGATTGTTTTGAAAACTGTGTAAAAAGGAATCTTTTCGATGTCACCACTGCACATGGAACTTCGAGGGAGTGATGTACTGAACTATCCATTTACATAACGAAAACAATTGAAATTATGAAGATGGGGTGAGCATGCGCTGTTTTTTAATGATGGATCTACTCATAGATGTGTTGTAAACAAATCTGTGAGTAGAACCATCATTTACAAAAAGGAATAAAAACAAAGTAAAATTATTTTTGTTTAATTTTCATGATAAATTCCATTTACTTTTGGGATTAGATGATATTAGAAGGTTGAATAGTCAGTTAGACTTTATTCATAATAAACTTTCTACATAGGCAAATCTATTCCTATTTTATACTTTGATACATATTCCATCAATAAAGCATGGTAATTCATTTCCCGTAGAGTTGTGACGTCGGTCCTTCGACGGCACGACAAACAAACATCCAACACTTCTTAACCGGGGATAATGATGGGTACTGGGGAATTAAAATGAAACAAATAAAACACACTCGCTAAAATAAACCAACTAAAACATAATGTATTTACAAGACATAAATATATATATACAATCTAAACCAAAGTTATTACAAATGAAACCAAGACGTTCCCTAATTCCAGTCTACAACCACGTTACAGTGTAATCGCCCAACTCACCCTGTGGTAACTCAATTAAGGTATTTTACGCTTAAGCAAACGTTGACGAGTCTGGAACACACCTGACCTCTCTTCTCCAGCTCCAGTCCAACATCTCCCCTCCTTCGACCATCCCCCACCCAGCATTCCAATGCGCCCCATTACACAAACAGTGACATCCTCAAAAAGTGAGGGTGACAGAGTGTAAATTCACTATTTGAAATTTTTTGTTCCTAATTGAGTTATGCATAACAAATGATTTTTCGTAGATTCTGTCTGACTTCGAGGTACATCGGGGATTTCGAAATCAAAAGGTTCTCACGTTTCCATCGGCTAAACTTGTGGTTTTTGCTGATTTTTGGGATAATTCGTGTTTCTAGTGATGATCATTGGTTTTATAGGGTTCTGGGGTCTGGTTATGTTTATGAACCTTGTAATTGGGTGCTTTGACAAAATTGTTTTGGAGACAAATAGAATTAATTTGATTTAAGTTTCGATGTGCATTACTAGGGGGGTTTTTTAGCAAATGAAGGTCGGAAATTGAGTATCTTATAGCACTTATTTTCCCGTAAATATTGAAATCATTTAATAATAACTTTTCTATAAAGGTCAGGTTTTGGGGGGTTTCTCGTCGCCAAAGAGTTTCTGAAGGGGAAGAAAGTACTAAATTGATATTGCAGATATTTACAAATAATTGTTTACCCATAAATACAAGGCTTGGCGATGTCATTAAAACAACAACAGCGTTCAAACTTTAGACAAACTGGAGTTTCCATCAAAGCCAAAGTTTTGGGCAAGACGTATTCACATTTCCCAAAACAATTGCTGTTGTTTTATTATAATCTGATACTCTAAGAAAATTCTTCTTGTCCAATAATGATAAAGAAAAAGGTCATTTTACTCAATTTTTTTTCTGTTTTTTGAGTTGACAGTTAATGTTTGTTATTATATTGTTGTTATTAGTCGAATAAAATTAAGATTTATAATTAAATCTGTGGGGATCTGTGAGCTGGATTGTATAAGTTGAAAAGACATCCTGAAAGTGCAGAAAGTAGACAAATTGAATGCATAACGTATCCAGGAAAAACCGACAGAGCACAACGGAGTAATTAATACATTAGCATGTCGTAAAAATGTTTCCAAAAAACATTTTTCAGGCTAAAGTTTGACAGAGGTTTAGAAGAAAATATTTATCATAGTCTTTCTATGTAAGGTTTTTATTGAAATGAAAAAGTTAGTGCCACGAGCGGGATTCGAACCCCAAGACCTTCGGCTAAATACGCCGCTGCTCTACCACCATGGGTTCGAATCCCGCTCGTCGCCTTAGCTTTTTCATTTCAACACAAACCTTACATAAAAAGATTAATTTATTAAAAGAAGTAATTTGGTCAATAAACCACGAAATATAATGGATTTACCATAGTTATTTATCATGACTTCAGCCATCCCAAACATAACACAATAACCTATTTTTTATTACTAATGACTATATTAAAACGAACACTCTTTTGAACCTTGGCTACCTCAAACGAAAATCGGGCGACTAAGTACAAGTCAGAAATAAAGAAAAATATAAAATGTACTGTCAAAAAACTCAATAAACCATGTCGCCAAGTAGCAATTTAGACTTTGAACGCATGGAAATTTCTAAAGCTTTCTTCTGTCCTTAATTAGAGCCCGAATAAGGAAAAGGCCTTAAGGAAAAAGACTTCTTTATTACTGATAATTACTAATTTACACTGAAAATTAACGAATTCACGCTTTTTTTCGCCCAAGGTGAGAATTTCAGTTTGCATATATTGGTAACTCTATGATCCAGCTTAGTATAAAATCAATGTAAAACTTTCTTTCGTTTTAATTCTATATACAAGTTTTAAACAATAAAAAATTGAATACATAATGAAAAAATGAACTGAGAAGCTTGGTTGAGCGGGGGGGTTAAATACAATAGCGAGTACACGATGTTCCACATTAATAATGTCATTACTGATCATGAATTTATTCTAAAATTATATTAAAATTCAGTACTCAAAAAACGAACGGGTACTGTTCCTTTTAAATTTTCTGATGAATTGACAAAAAATCTGTACATCTTCTACACAATACATTGTACATTATAAATTGTTAAATTACTTTTAATAATTGGAATTTTAATGTACATTAAAGGTCATTATGGGAGTGATGAAGATGACGACGACGATGATGATGATGACGACGACGATCATGGTGACAGTGGTGGCCATGATTCTGGTAATAATAAAAGAAAGGAGCAAAACAGAGGTGGTCATGGACACAATCATGGAGGTAGAAATGATGGAAGAAGAAAGAATCAGCGAGGTATATATTTTTAAATCTGGTTCATAATAAATAAAACCAAATTGATCTTGGAGGGGAAAAATTATCATACTAGATAAATACAATGGAGATGATGAAGACTACGATGACAGCTGGTCTGATCAAAACTCAAAAAATAAGCATTCAGGCTCGGGCAATTCAAGGGACAGACCTTATTTCTCACAAAGGGACAAAGACGATAAAAATCATGGACAAAGGGGTGGGCAAAAGCACGATTTTGGCTACAATCCCATCTCAGCACATCATAGCCACTTTAGCTCAGGGAACAACGGGAACAGCTATAATAATTCAAACCGGCAACACGGGTCCTCACCATTAGAAGACGTTGAACCTGTATGCTCTATAAATTTCAATATTTCGATGATATTTTATATTAACTTTTGTTTTGTTACAGTGTATCATACATTGCATGTTCCGTCAGATGAAAATGGTAACTTTTTTATAATTTGAGACAAAATTTATTTCAAGATAGATTTTTATCATTATCACTACTTCAGGTTAACGACAACTCACATGTCGATAAGGCTAGTGTTATTAACACTCTTACAAGAAGAATAAGAGATCCTGAATTGAAGGAATTTATACAGGATTCTATTCATGAATGTTTTGAAAATTTAGATAGAGGTTGTGAAAAAAATTTAGCAATTATTGAACTGATGAAGTAATTAAATATTCAATTTCAGATAGTGGACAATGCGAAACAACAAAAACATTTGCCATGTGTTTAGAAGAAAAAGGAAGAAGGGTAATTCACACAATATATACATTATAAAATTGAAAAAACTCAACAATACAAATTTATAATTTTTGAAATTTTAGAATTGCGAAGATTGGAACTTGAACTCTAGACCGGGTCATGGAAATAGAAATAATGGAAGGGATAACATGAATTATTTCTTTCAATCATCTCCTTCAAGGGGTTAAAACAAGAAAAATGTAATGTCAAGATAGATAATTTATTCAATACAGAAATAAATTATTATTTTACTACATTTATTAATAATTATACAAAATCATGTAGAAATATAATTGTTTTTCAAAAATTTATATAAATATTATATTTATCATCATATATTTTTTTCCCAAAAAAATATTTATTTTTAGTACAAAATATGTTTTCAATAGCTACACAGACTTGTATTTATCTAATAGAGGCACTTCGTTAAAAGCAATCTTATGCAATCGTTCTTCGATGCTTTGTAGCAAACTGGAGGCTCCAATTCTAAAAAGTCTCGGGTCAAGCCAGTCATCTCCAAGTTCGGTTTTGACAAGCATAAGCCAGTTGATTGCATCAGTGTTTGTCTTCAAACCACCAGCTGGTTTCAGACCAACCTGAAATAAAAGAGAACTGTTAGAATTTATTGCAACACAGATATATAAATCAATGTACCTTTCTACCAGTTTTCTCAAAATAGTTTCTAATGGCACGACACATAACAATGCCCACGGGAAGAGTGGCATTCACAGATTCCTTGCCTTAAATTAAAATCTTATTATTTATCATTTTTATAACAAATATGTATATTGCGATAACTTGTGTCTTAAATAATTGCAAGAAAACTTAAGATAGCATTTTACCAGTAGAAGTTTTAATGAAGTCAGATCCTGCTAACATGGCAACCATTGACGCTTTATAAATATTCTCAAATGAGCCGCATTCACCGACGGCCAAAATTGTCTTGAGGTGACTTTGTTGGCATGCGTTTTTCATCTCCTTGACTTCACTGTAGAGATGATCCCATTTGTGCGCAAGTACGAGGCTCCGATCAAGAACAACGTCTATCTCTTTGGCACCTTGCGCCACACAGAACCTGATCTCATCTAGACGTGTGTTCAACGGATATTGACCACTAGGAAACCCTGTTGCAACTTAAAAGCAAAACAAAATTACAATTTGTATTTTGGATTACTATGATAGGTGATTTTTTACCAGAGGCAACAGGCATGTCGACATTGAGACGTTTCAACTGAGAGACAGCATCGTCCACTCTAGCGGGATACACGCAAACAGCAGCCGTTTTTATTCTGTTCAAAGATTCACAATCATCGCCAAACTTCTCCGCTAACCCTTGGATTATCTCTTCCGAAATAGGTCTTGTTGCCTGTGTGAATATAAAGATTTCAATCGTTCCTAATCATGATTTGAACAATGATTTCATACTTTAACACACAGCCTTGAAACATTTGTAAACGTGTCATCACCGGCGAGGGTTGTCAGATCGACACAGGACACAGCCTTAAGCAGCCAAGCTGCCTCACATTCATTCAAAAAAGGTGGAGTGTCTGTAATCTGTTTTACACTGTTTCTGACATAAGTTTCGTTTATAAAAACCTTTTGTGTCCACGACCATGAAGTATCTAAACAAAATAATAAACTATAAGCACCATTCTAAATATAATCTGGATTTGTATATTATTACTTTTATTTATATAAAATGGTATCACTTATTGTAATTGTAGGATTATAACTACATGCTTAAGTTTTAAAAAAATAAATATATAATCACCCAATATGGTTTCCTTGTTATTTTCATTCAAATCTTCAATCATTTTTTAGCTAGAAATCATAGATATTGGATCAAAATAACATCAAATTCTTATGAATTTTTCATTTCAGATATCAGTCTTATCAGCTAGTAAACAGAAAAGAACAAAACATTCCTGAACCAAATCCTAGAGGTCGTCCATAGTGACTGGCAATTGGAACACTCATTCAACATTTGTTGACAGTTCCAATTTTTGTACTTTATAGTTATTATTTCAAACTAAAGTTCACAATGCACAAACTTAATTATAATGAGAATACCAGAAATCAAGCATTAAATATAAAATGACAACAAACAGTTCAATACACAGAAGTTTATAAGTTTCACTGGCATCAGCAATACCACTTATTTAGTTAAATTATGTTATTTTCTGGTATTCTCATTATTATTAAGTTAGTGCATTGTGAACTTTAGCTTGAAATAATAACTATAAAGTATAATTGCAAAAATTGTAGTGGAACTGCCAACAAATGTTGAGTGAGTGAAGTTATTACTTTATATTTGTCTGTCATAAGTTACTTTTTTGCACACAAAGTTCAATTAATTTTAATTGTTAGATCACGTGCAATATAATTTTTTGTTAAATTTTTAAATGCAATAAAATACAAAATAATTCAAGAGTTGAAGCTAAAGTTAAGAAATTAAAATTGATTTAATAATAAACAGCTATTATATCAATATACAATTGCATTCTTGCAAAAATCTTCTTGTGCCTTAATTGTAAAATTATTTCTCTATTCAATTATAAAACATATGCTATTTTTTATTTAATATTAAATGAAAAATTGGAAAAATTATATTGAAACTGTAAAATGCTAGATAATCACATCAAGTTGCAAATCTGTTTATAAGTTTTACAGGCATCAGCAATAACAATTGTACCACTAATTTAGTAAATTATGTTATTACTTCCTATTTGACTGTCATGTGTTACTTTTTGCATACAAATTGTAATTACTTTTAATTATTAGATCACATCCAATATAGTTATTTTTTATTATATTTTTAAGGCATAAAAACACAAATTAATGCCGAAGACAAGCTAAAGCTAAGAACGTAACATTGATTAAACAATAAAAGGCTAATATATCAATATACAAATTGCAATCATAAAATTTATTAAAATGACATAACTACTGATTATTTTTTATCCATTATTCATTACTTTTTTGGCACAAAAATCTTCTTATGCCTTAATAGTAAAATTATTTCATTATTAGATTATAAAACATATGCTATTTTTATCTAATATTATTTAAAAAAATTAATATGACATTAAATTTTGAATGGGAAAAATTATATTGGTTAAACTGTAAAAGGCTCAATAATCACATGAAAATTGTTAAACTGTTCAATATACAAAGTTTTATAAGTTTCTCTGGCATCAGCAATAACACTTGCACCACTTATTTAGTAAATAGTTTCTTATTTAATGATTTCTGTAAATTGCTTGCTGCATTAGATACTGATCTTAAACCAAGGAATATTTCATCCTACATTAATGCCTTCAGCTACCTTAACATTCTAAACACTTATAAACTTAGAGTTTTAATATATATTAATTATTTGGAGATTGTGAAATGTGGTCTGGTGTGATGTAGGTTTTAGAAAAACATTTTCTTTATCATGCCGTTTCAATCTTTATTGAGATCATCTTCAGGCCTGAGATTTATAAACATTGTTTAAATTATACAAATATATGTAGGATGTGAAAACATGAATTTATACAATGCTAGAAAGTTTAGGCTCAATCAAAGTATTTGTACTCGTAATCTCCAAAGAATCATTAACTCATGGTCACTAAACACCACACACTTTATATATATAAAATTAAATCAAATAAATGTCCTCAATATTTATCAACTATTTTCCCTCATTCCTTATCCAAGAGCACCAATCATATCCCAAGCCTTCAACAATCTTCTAAACCTTTGGCCTTATCCTTCAGAATTGCAGGGTCAATTCACGTACTGCTTCTTCGCTAGCTTGATTGTCCATGGCATCTGAATTTTTAAAAACTACATGAATCATCTCCTTTTATTCCCTTTTCATTTTCTTCTTCCCGTTTCCTTTTTTTCTCATTCTGCTTTTCTTTCATAATGTGGTTTCATCATTCAATTATAAATAATGTATATTTAAAAATATACTATTGTCATTCCATTATATTTCGTGGTCCGATTGACCAAATAACTTCTTTCAATTAATGAATCTTTATGTTAGGTATCGGTTGAAATGAAATTGTCATTTTTGTTTTGTATATTTTATTATATGTTTTATTGATTATTCAGAGATCGTGAGATGCGGTCTGGTGTGATGTAGGTTTCAGAAAAACATTTTCTTTATCGTGCCAACGTTTTGATTTTTATTGAGATCAACTTCAGAGCCTGGGATTTACAAACATTGTTTCAATTTAACAAATAGATGTAGGATGTGGAAAAAAAGTGAATTTATACAATGCAAAATATATTTTTTATATTCAATCAAAGTATTTCTACTGAAGATGATCAGGCCCTGAAGATGATCTCAATAAAGATCGAAACGTTGGCACGATAAAGAAAATGTTTTTCTGAAAACTACATCACACCAGTCCGCATCTCATGATCTCTGAATAATCATCGATTAACGGTCACTAATCACCACATTTATATGTTTTATTATTTTTATTGCTGTTATTATTATTTTATTATGCTTATAAAACTTAATTTATTTCTAATATAAGTACATGTAAGAGGGCATAAACCCCTATTTGTACCTTTAAAATAAATAAATTTTAATTTTTCTTGTTCACCTTGGACCACCTAGTTAGAGGTCGGCAGACCAAAGTTTGAGAAGCCCACCCTAAATATATTGGGTTGTCCGGAAAATAATGCAGGATTTTGGTATTAAACAAAAAAAAAGAAACTAGTTACTTTAAAGCAATGTTCTTTAATCAAAATAATTTCCCATNAATCCTGTAAACGTAAACAGAATATTTTATATAGATTTTTTTTAATGAAAACTTAAAATCCTGCATTATTTTCCGGACAACCCAATAGTAGATGGGATAAAATATTTTCACAAGACAAGGAACAAGATTATCACATAAAATTGGAAAAATAGTGCGATACCAGGTCTAAAGTATTCATGTGTCGCATGTTTGGTATTCATTTCAATTTTTTCTAGCTGAGAACCTGTGATAATCACTTGGGAGCTTTTTTTTAAATAATGATATATTCAAGTTTGACAATATTGACTATTTAATTGTTTAATTTTTGGCTTATTCAAGCAACGAAGAGTGCTGCTTTTTTGTACAGAGAATTACATTTATACAAGGCGCAGTAGCAATGCAGAGGGAGACACTTGATGAATCATTTCCTCCTTCTGGTGGGTGTAGTCAGGAACTTTCAAGGCCGAACACTTTTGTAGTTTTGCTGGAAATTTCATGTAACCTACTTGTTTACTAACGTGTTTTCTTTGGTTTTAATTGTAATTTAAATTGGACAACAATTTTAAGTGTGTTTCTGACATTTGTGAGCATTTGACGTACACAGACTACTTGGTTATCAAGGAGTGCATAATCCAGGAAAGAACTACCGGTAACTGCTACTTTGGATTAAGCTTCTTTGTTTTTATTAAATTATGGCTTGGATTTAAAAAAAACACTTGCTACGATGGCCGATCACAGTGGTAAACTTGTTCTGTATGCCTGAAATTGACATTAAATAATTGATAAAGTGAGCCAGGGAGAAAAAAAAATTGGTGTGTATACAGGGCGGTATCTCTGTTTTGCTCTTTCTCTTAATTAAAGAAAATCACAGGAAAATGTCACGGTCTGTAATGTCTAGTCCGACAAAGCTTGCCGAGAAGCTCATATTGATCAACGACAGGGGTATCGGAATGCTGACTCGGATCTACAATATTAAGAAAGCGTGTGGAGATGCTAAATCCAAGCCAGGCTTCCTTTCCGACAAGAATTTAGAGTCTGCTATAAAAAACATTGTCAAAAAATTTCCAAACATCGATGTTAAAAGCCTACAGGCTATCAATGGGATTAGGAATGAGATAATAAAGTCGTTGTCCCTTTATTATTATACTTTCGTCGATCTTTTGGACTTTAAAGATAATGTGTGCTTGTTGTTGACGACAATGGATACATGCCAATTGCACCTTGATATAACGCTCAATTTTGAGTTGACGAAGGGATATCTCGACCTTTGTACGACGTATGTTTCGCTGATGGTCTTGCTTTCAAGAGTTGAAGACCGCAAGGCAGTTTTAGGCCTCTTCAATGCCGCTCATGAAATGCTTCACAGCAAGAGCGACCCGAGCTTCCCTAGGCTTGGTCTGATGATCATGGAGTACGATCCCCCTCTTAAAAAATTGTCTGAGGAATTTGTTCCTCACACAAAACTTTTATATTCTGCATTGATGTCTCTGTCGCCAATTTATACTAGCAGGAATTTAACAGCGGATCAGTGGAGGTCAGATCAAAAACTCAGCCTTGTTGGGAACCCAGGCCAGCTGCTGAAGCCGTTGCAGAGCGATACTATGTCATGTGAATATTTATCATTGGAGTCTATGGATAAATGGATCATTTTTGGCTTTTTGCTATGCCACCAGTGTCTAAATCAAGAACAGAGTCGTCAGATGTGGAACAGCGCACTACAATCAAGCTGGGTCATTGCTTTATTTAGAGACGAAGTCATTTATATTCATTCTTACATTCAAACAATGTTTGATTCTATAAAAGGCTACAGTAAGAAAATTTCTGAAGTTAAAGAATACTATAATGTAGCTGTGCAGCATGCATCTTACATACACAGTGAAAGAAGGAAGTTTTTAAGAACAGCTTTAAAAGAATTAGGCTTGATTCTGTCTGACCAACCAGGTCTTCTGGGTCCAAAAGCACTACTTATTTTTATGGGTTTGAGTTTTGCAAAAGATGAAATTTACTGGCTTTTACGACACAATGAAAATCCACCTCTTCAAAAAGTCAAGGGTAAAAATACAGATGACCTTCTCGATCGGCAGCTTGCTGAGTTGTTATTTCACATGGAAGAGCTCAGAAGCTTGGTTAGAAAATACAGTCAGGTCATTCAAAGATATTATGTGCAATACTTGAGCGGTTTCGATGCGATTGCTTTGAACCAGATGATGCAAAATCTGGCTGTCTGCCCAGAAGACGAAAGTACAATTTTGTCCTATTTGTGGAGTACAATTGCAAGCCTTTCTATTAAACAGGTTGAGGATAATGAAGATTTTGATTTTCTTGCCCTAAGAATTGACTGGTTTAGACTACAGGCAACCACTTCTGTTGCAAAAGCTCCTTTATCATTAGTAGAGAAAAGAGATTTAGCCTCGTTACTCGATAATATCATTTTCCATACAAAAATGGTGGACTATTTAGATGAAATTTTAGTTGAAACATCAGACCTTTCAATCTTTTGCTTTTACAATAAAATCTTTGAAGATCAGTTCCACTTTTGTTTAGAATTTCCAAGACAGATCCGATATATTATCGCATTTCCTTTGATATGCAATCACTTCCAGAGCTGTACTCATGATTTATGCCCTGAAGAGAGACATCATATAAGAGAAAGGAGTCTTTCTATTGTTAGTATATTCTTAGAAGAAATGGCGAAAGAAGCGAAGAATATAATAACAGAAATATGTGATAACCAATGCTCTATGAGTGATAAGTTATTACCGAAATGTTGTGTACTAATTATATCTCAAGTTGTAACTCGAAAGAACAAAGACAAAAATAAAAAAAACATTCCAGAAATTGAAAAACCTGGCGTTGAAAGTTACAGAAAAACTCGAGAAGTAATGACACATATGGATAAACTTCACATGACATTGACTGAACTGTGTTACTCGCTTAATTACTGTGCGGAAATTAAAGTTTGGGAGTACTCCTTCGCTCCCAGAGAATATTTGCGCATCCATTTGGAAAATCGATTTTCTCGATCATTTGTCGCGATGGCTATGTTTGATCCTGACACCAATGAAATTGCTAAACCGACTGAACTTTTGGCAAGTGTCCGAGCCTATATGAATGTTCTCCAAACAGTAGAAAATTACGTGCACATCGATATAACTAGAGTGTTCAATAATACTCTATTGCAGCAGACTCAGCAGATGGATAGCCATGGTGAAAAAACAGTAGCAGCTCTGTACACACATTGGTACTCTGATATTCTGTTGCGAAGAATAAGCGCTGGGAGCATATGTTTCTCAATGAACCAAAAAGCATTTGTGAGTTTGACAGCAGAAGGTACAATGCCTTTTAGCGCTGTAGAATTTTCTGATATGAATGAGCTCAGAGCTTTAGCTGAGCTAATTGGACCATACGGAATGAAGTTGCTCAATGAGACCCTGATGTGGCATATTGCATGCCAAGTACAAGAGCTTAAAAAATTGGTTGCAAGCAATAAAGAAGTCCTTATAGCTCTAAGAACACATTTTGATAAACCAGAAATAATGAAAGAACAATTCAAAAAACTGCTTAATGTTGATAATGTACTACAAAGGATGACAATTATAGGAGTTATACTCTGTTTTAGACAACTAGCGCAAGAAGCTTTAGTCGATGTCTTAGGAGAGAGAATTCCATTTTTGCTCACTTCCATTTTAGATTTTTGCCAACATTTACCAGCATGCGATACAAGCGTCATAAGTGAAATGGCATCAGCAGCAGGATTAGCATGCAAAGTTGATCCAACTTTGGCTTCACAGCTCAAAAGTCAAAAAAGTGAGGTCGAAGAAGATGAACACCTTTTAGCCTGCCTTTTAATGGTATTTATCGCTGTGTCCATACCAAAACTTGCCAAACATGAAAATTCTTTATACAAAGCATCCTTAGAAGGCCATGCAAACAACATCCACTGCATGGCTGCTGCTATCAACAACATATTCGGTGCACTATTTACAATATGTGGTCAGGGAGATATTGAAGACAGAATGAAAGAGTTCCTCGCCTTGGCATCTTCAAGTCTACTACGTTTAGGACAAGAAGCAGATAAAGATCTGACCAAAAACCGAGAATCTGTTTACCTTTTGCTCGATTTGATTGTACAAGAATCGCCATTTTTAACAATGGATCTTTTAGAATCTTGTTTTCCATATGCACTCATCAGGAATGCTTATCACGCTGTCTACAAACAAGAACAGTCCCAGGCATAACTTAGTGCAAAATATCAATCTATTATTGATTTATGGCCCACATGAGTCCTAAGATCTTGTACATACTCTGTTGTATATTTATTAATCAAGTAGTTCTATTATTTATTTATAGTTATATTCGTGGTAATCAATTTAATAGGAATTTTTATTGTTTATGATATAAAATGATTTAGTTAGTTGCTCCAAGTAATGCTACAATCCATAATTGAATATTATTTTAGTATTTATGGTTGTTTCTTAAATTAGGATGCTATATGTTTATGTTTTAAAAGGCTTTAATTTTATTCTATCATAATTAGCATACAAAGCAATAAACATTTATTTGTAAAATAATATTGTGATAATCTAATAATGTATAAACTTTAGACAGCCTTACACTATTTAGAAAACTTTGTATTACATTTATATGAGCTGGATGTAAAAAAAGGATTCCTAAATAAAAAGACAATTTTACTCTTCAGTTGTATTTGTACCTTCATACAATAATACTCAGGTCTATGTATTGTATTTTACTATAATTAAATGTAAAATAAATATTTTCAATATCTTGAGAATATTATTTTTTCTACTCAACCTGGTTTTTTATTTTATTTAATTAATTTTTTTTTTTAAACAACAGCAGAGGTTATAAAACCCATTTGTAAGTATGTCGGATTCGCCACTGGATTTGAACCCGGGACCTTTTCTTTACAGTAATGAGTACCATGTCAACGCCTAAATTGTTGCAGCACCAACGCCCCATATAATTGCATTATTAATTATGGTCTAACTGCACCCAGAAAACATTTTAATTTTCTGAAAGATTGTCTTTAATTTTTGAAGTACAAATATGAGAACTTTAGAGTTTGAGACTATCTGAAAGATGTTATGAAGTTGATTCAATTCCATTGAAATACGTTAATAATTTTTTGAACAGTTATCACTCAGCTTCCTTTACCCCGAGGAAAACAGATATTTGCAGTTATCTTTTGGCTAATGCACATTTGAAAATTTTTAATGTTATAATCCAGATTCTCAACCATATCCAACAAAAGAAAAGCAAGAAATTTAACTTATAATATTATAAATTAAAAGTCAAAGTTTTTATTAATCTTCTAGCAGTTACACCTACGAAGTTACCCAGCCCAGTTTTAAAAAATTATTTAAATTTATGTACTTTTATTGTTAAGAAAATCTTTAGGAAACAAATTGGTAAAAAAAGGGTTTTTTATTTTTTATTTGCTATTAAAGGAAGGGTGTCATTATTTGGTTCCATATAGAGAGTGTGTAGGAATGCCACCCGATACGATAAATGTTCTTAAGCTCAGCAGGACATATTTAGGCCCCTTGTTTCGATTTTTGGTTTGATTAAATATAGTATTAATAGATTACTCGTTTTGTGTTCCCCTTTGTGTATATTGAGAGTAAATGTATTTATTAGCATGAATGTGTAGTGCAAGTGGGCCGATGGTGCCTCACTATATCGACCAACAATTTGATTAGTTATGTCAAAAGAGTGTTGGCAGAAAAGTACTTTATAAGAGTACAAGATGGCAAGCTGCGAGAAGACAAGCACATTTCTGTGTATATGTGTGCATAATTAGCTTATATGTAAATAAAAAAAGTAATAACAATAATTGTATACAATTTTATTTTTAGTTTAAAAAAAAATTATTTTTTATTTATTTATTTATTTGGTGACAAAGGATCTCAAATTGTTTTTGGAAGCTGGTTATAGAAGAAAAAAAGAAATATCACTGTTTCTTCTGCCTTTTTATCTTTCAACATAAAAAACTGTAAAATATATATTTCAAATCAACTATATTTATGCTCAAATGTACATTGTAAAAAATGTATACGTACAAAAGCTTTTTTAAGTTTCCTGTACTAATATTTGTTACATAAATTCTTAAATATATACAGAATTGAGGAGTATTGTTGTTAAAGTTATATTCATGGACATTTATTTTGTTTAAAATAATATTTACAATTTATAATTCGTACCTTACAAATTTTACAAAATATAATTTTCTTGCTAAGTGTCAGGTTGTTGGTTTATATCAGATGGTTTTGATTCAACGAATGAAGCAGGGTGCAGAGGCAGAAATTCTGGCTGGTACCAGTACTGCTGGGTGGCTTGTGGGCCCTGGTAACCGTAATATTGTGCCCATACTGGTGACTCCATTTCAGGGGTATAAGCTGGAAATTGTATTTTTAATAATTATATTGCTCATTGATACATTAAAATTGCATACTTATGGCAGGAGGAGAAGGAACACATGAATTTCTTGATTCATGAGTCGGGTACGGTGAATGCTTGGGATGAGTTCTCACGGTTCGTTCACATGTTGTGTACCCACCTCCTGACCAACAACTATCATCTAAAAACAATAGGTTAAAACTTGTGTTAAAGAAGAAAAAAAATCATACAGACATTGTGTATGTTGTGTCTGGTATTCTCTATTTTGCTGTTGGTTGTCAGGTCTTTCCTTAGCATCAAGGAAAGCCTTGGCAAAAGGGTTGTACTTTATTTTCAACGATGTCACCTGGAATTTATATATGCCTTTAGCTTCTAAAAATTAACTAAAAGTATTCTACCTTACTTCTTCATTCTGGTATGCTGTGACAGCGATAAATTGTGTCTCTGGGAATGCATAAGCCACGACTACTCTCTGTTCAGTCCCAACTCTGACTATATGTACTCTTGGCTCATATTTGTGTAGCGAATTCAACATTATCTAAAAAGAATAATAAGCTAACAACTCTTAACTTTGAACAAATGTACACATAATATTTAACTAGTTAACCTGTCCATTTCCATTGCATTTATTGGTGAGTTTGACCTTAGCAAATGACACCGGTTCTTTCATCCAGTGTGCTCCAAAGTTAGGGCTCTCTGGGTGTACATAGACAGGATTGGATGGTGCTGCCTCTGCTTTACCTCCTGCTACCCATTCACCATTCACGTACTTCCATCTTAATAAGAAGGAGAAAAAATAAAAATAATTGTTATTGCATTTATATTTTGATGTAATAACCTATGCTGTTCAATTTGCACAAATTCAAGTAGAATGGTGTACATTGATGTCGGATCTAATCCACTGACAGTAACTTTCACGACAGGAAACATTCGCCTAGAACAATATGTTATAAGAATAGTGATACAGTTATTAAGAACAATATAAATATGTATGTATTATGTTAATATAATAGATATATTAATTTACAGATATGAATTGCACAAGGCATGTCCAGATCTCAACCGACAAATAACACAACAGAAGTCTCTTCCCAAACTGTATTGTCTAAACGATGGGTCCGAGTTTTCTTTTTGTTTCTTCATGTTAATGTAAAATCGACCTTTATTGTTCTTCCTAATCTGATTATTCCATTCCTTGGACCATTTGAAACTAGCAATTAAGTCGTTTATAGATAGTCTAATACCTATAATTGTACCAGTTGTTGTTGCTTCCTTCAAGCGAGGTGGACCTTTTTATGCTGAGCATACAATTTCTCTAAATTAGCTAAGATATTAAGGCATATGCTATTATATGAATTTTTTTTGTTAGCAATCAACTGAAGCGCACTTCTGCTATCTGTCAATATTGCAATATGATTATTGGAAATAGAGAATGCATATTCCAAGGCCTGATTTATCGCAACTAATTCCACTGCATAAACAGAAGCGATGTGTTTGTGTTCAAAACGGTGGGTAGTGATTGCTTGGGTTTTTTGCGATCATAGATATGCTGCTTTACTCTCTTGATATTGGGATGTAATTAATTATTAATTAATTTTCACCTCAAAGAAGCCAACACCTTATACAAAACTGTCTTTTCTATACTGACTTCCTTCCCCACCCCTTCAAAATCCAACGTATATAAACATAAAACAGCAATATCTCACTGGCACTCTCAACACGACATGCAAGAGTGGCACAATTACACATAAAACAAACACTGAGAGAATAGAAATACTTTGATTGAATATAAAAAATATATTTTGCATTGTATAAATTCACTTTTTTTCACATCCTCCATGTATTCATTAAATTTAAACAATGTTTGTAAATATCACGCCCTGAAGATGATCTCAATAAAGATCGAAACGTTGGCACGATAAAGAAAATGTTTTTCTGAAACCTACATCACACCAGACCGCATCTCACGATTTCCAAATAATCATCGAGTAACGGTCACTAATCACCACACTCATAACATTATTATTTGCATGTACTACTTTTAACTCTTGAAAGGGTAAATTTTCTTTAACAAACAAAGCTACTCCTCTGTAGCCATCAGCTCAATCTAATCAAAGTATGTTATAATGTTTAAATGTACAAACATGCTTTGGTTTAAACCATATCTGTGACAACGCAACTATATTAACATTATTTTGAAAAAGAAATATTTCCAAACTTCCCTTATTCGCTACAGCTAAACAGTTCCATTGTAATATTCTGAGATTTTTTATCATAACTATATTAATGCTAAACTTTTAACTTGGTCTTTAATCATGTTTTTAATGTGCTATTCTTGTTGTACGGGAATTTTGTTACCTATTGCATTTAATATCGAAATTACTATATCATTTAAAGCAGTGTTATTTGAAGGTATTGCTCAGTATGGGTTAAATTTAATTATACCCCTTCCACCTTGCTCGGAGTTGAGGGTGTCATTAATTGTTGTTTAACCTTTGATTCCCAATTACTTTGTGACGGAGTTCGTTTTCTAGTTACCACTACTTTCACTGGTTTTATTACAGGATTTATAGGTGTTTTGGGTGATATCGTGTTGGGAAGATTAGGATAGACCATCTTATCAGATAGGGAAGGTGGGTTCACAATGTCAGATAACAATTTTTTCGTTGATTTATCCTTAGCCTCCTTATATGACAAATTTTCCATAGTCATGACTAGTTTAATTTATTTCTGCCTTTTATATTCCGGACAAGATTTTATATCCATTGAAGAATGGTTGCTACCACAGTGCACACATTTGAAAATTTCAATCGTGCAATCCGCCTTCTTATGTGGACCCGCACAATTACTACAGTACTCACTACCTTTACAATCCTTACTAATTAAATTCACTAGTTTTCTTGGTCCGCTTGACCAATTAATATCTTTCAATTAATTAAGGTTTTTAGTTGAGATAAAAAAGTCAATGGCACGAGCGGGATTTGAACCCACAATCTTTGGCTAGATACGCCGCTGCTCTACCACTTGAGCCATCGTGACCTCGATCTACTCGGACACCAACTTCCCATCTCAACCCCACCTTTTGAATTTTCCCTCCAGATGAAAAATGGCATTTTATCTCAAATAAAAACCTTAATTAATTGAAAGATATTGACTGGTCAAGAGGACCACGAAAACTAGTGAATTTAATATATTTTAATACTGATCATCCTGACAAAATTGTCGATTTTGCCGGGTCCAAAAAACTGGTCTTCCTAAGGATACCCGTAACGGCTGAAACAAATCGGACATATTTGAGATTTCTCTTCTTTTTCAAAAGGGACTCCGATCCCAGTTGATATTTTAATATTGATCATCCTGACAAAAGTGTCGATATCGCTGGGTCCAAAAGACTAGCCTACCTAATACCTAAGGATAGTGGATACCCTTAATGGCTGAAACATATCGGACATATTTGAATTTCCTCTTCTTTTTCAAAAGGGACTCCGAACCCAGTTGAATAAGAAAGCGGAAATTGTTTATTTATGCTGACCCACCGCGATTAGTCGTCGTTAATGGTCAGTTAGCTGTTACAGATCGAGAAATAGCACCTTGCCGCTAACGACGAGCAAGTTAGCACCAGCTCCCGCCTGTTTAGCACTTGACGTCCGTACGGTTAACTAGACCATTAGTCGTCCTAAACGCTCGAATTAAAACAAAAAACACTTATTTCCCATTCATCCTGCATGGATAATCATCAATTAATACCTTCCGCTTTTGGTGACGATCATCTCGTTAGTGAGCACCTGGAACCTTGTCCACAAATCTCTGTCGTCCAACGTTACCAGCACCTGCTCCTTCGAGTACATATTCTCTCCTCCAAGATCTTCCATTCTGTGAATTAGGAATTTTAGTATTAAAGATTTAAATAAGACACATGGAAAATAACCAATCAATAATATTTAATTAATCTGGATATTTTCTTCCTTCAAATATGTTCTCCTTAATTAAGGAAATATTTGCAGCTAATTTTTAGGTTTTATTTAATAAAACAGTGTAAACATCTTTCAAGGTTGAAATCTATCTTTAACTGGTTTCTCCTATGGTTAGAGGTTTTATATACAGGGTGTTACAGGGTTAAATGTCAATACTGCCATGGTGGGTTCACTAAATAAAACAGTAGTTCAGTGCCGCAAGAACGAGGTTTCTATGAATATGATGTAGGGGAAGGAGTCAAACTCCTAATTTTGACCTAGCGAAACCCACTATCAATTTTCAAAGCTGAGATCCATGTAACAGAACTCTGTGCACAAGAAATACTTAGGTGAATAGATACAGACATACCGTCAGAAAGCAGTACTGAACGCATCTGAGAATGCCAGACATATCACTAGCTCCTGGGAAAACAAAGAGAGGTGCATCGCTCAGAGGCTTGTGATCGAAGGCGCACAGCCCACGGTCATGAACTCATCAAGGACCAGGGGTACACTGTCTCCAAGGCCTCAGCAACCACAGTTCCCAACCCAAGACTTCTCTTGGCTGAGCCAGGATATAAGGCTGGCCTGAACTAATGACATAGCAGTTGAGTTGAGTCCAGAGTCTGGGGCCTGTAAGAGATAATCAAACAAAGGAGAACCTGCAAGATCAAAACCCTGCGGGTCAATGATCATCAGTATAACACTGATGTTAGTGACGGGGGTTGGATAAAGGCTGATAAACTAAATAAATCCTCGACTTTGAGGAATTACTTTTAAACGAGGTTGCCAAGCTTAAAACAGAGGTGGGCCAAAATTATTTTTATCATTTATGAAAATAAATAATTGTGGAGGTTTACTTTCCAGTTGGAGGATTGTATAAGAAACTACAACGTTAACCTAGGCAAGTGTTTAACAATGGAGCCAGAATTGGTCAAAGCCATACTGGAGAATGTCGTGAATAAACTGGAACATTTCCTTTCTGTACAAAACGTATTAATGCATCCTTAAACATAAATAGCGAAAGCTATTCGATTACAGAAGATAAAGAAAAGAAACTGAGGATAAAATTAATGAGATATATTAATTACATTTACTATTGTAATTATTTCCATCATGTACACACTGTTGAGCTATTTTTATTAATTTATGAGCAAAAAATGTTTTTAGTATAAGTGCTCATGGTTAAACGCACACCTTACTGAGAAAATTCTTAATTATAAGTAAAATATATTTTATTTTTCAAATTATATTTCAGACCTTATCTGTCGTCAGCAAATTAGAGAAATGTTGTCAGGAAAAAAGTCTACATTAAATTTGTTGACAAGTATAATGGAAGAGACAAAAATTGCACAAGAAAAGTTCGGTAGTTCTTGATTTGACTAAAATGCAGTGAGAATTGAGGTTAATTTAAAAAAAAATTGAATTTGAAGCTTGAATAATATGTCACGAAACAGAACTATCTGAAAAGAAAGGAGCTGACCAAACAGTCAGACGAAAATTTGGAAGATTTGTTAGCCGTCGTGAACGAGAAGAAGAAAAAGTACGAAAATGATTATTATTCTAATTCTAAATGTGATGTTTTACTTTATTCCCAGGGTTGAAAATATTAAAACACTATGAATTTCTTTGTGGAGAGGGCGAGGTATATCATTGGCCTTCTGAAAACTAAATTCTACAATAAATATACAATTTTAAATAAATTAATTAATATTTTTTTCTTAACATGTGATAACAACAATAAGCTATAATTCTCCCGAAATACACCAAGAATTTGTCTCTATGTATTTCTTTTAAGTACACTAAGAAATCATCTTGTTATCATAATCTTTATTCTTGAATTTTCCTGAATTCCAAATATTTTTTGTTTTGAGTTTGTCTATCTTCTATTTAGAATAGTATTTATATATAGTAGTATGTAGATGTAGTAGTATATGTAAGAAGAATAGTGTATATATACTTGTTGATTTAATACAATAATTTACAACAGGCCGTAAGATGTAGTTTCCTACATCTTTCCTAGCTCTATTTCAAATGTATTGTGTAAAACTGTATGTTTCAGTTTTATCAAAAGTAATCACAATATGCCAATAATAGAGATGAAATAAGACTTTTGTTAAATTAATATCCTATTTAATGCTATAGTTTAATACGGAGGCTTAAACAGTACAGGATGTATTTAGACAGCCATCACCAAAAAATGTAAACTTCATTCTACGCATTAAAGTCTCTTCGGTTGTTCTTAAATTATCGCAAAGGCCGAATTTATCATTCTTATCGTTAATTAAATAACAAAACAATTGATTTCAAATACAACTGCATATAGCAAAAGTTTATATGCTAATATAAGCATGAGAACAAATTCATATTTTGACCAGTTCGTTTTCTACGATAGTTACCGAAAGAAATGATTTTACTGCTTTGAAAGTAGAAAAAATGGACATAGTCTCATTAACTTGATTGTACTCGCTGGTTTTTATTATTTTAGTTAAATATGACTAATTATATTTCACCGTATTGTGATAAATCGAGTAGGTTTTTTTTTAACGTGGTTAAAAGGAGCTAACTTTAGAATTCTGCCTTTTGGGCCTACCATTTGCTTAAAAAGAGCTAACTTTACATTTCTGCCTTTTGGGAAAGTAATAATGATTTGTTTTTAAAGTGTTTTTCCATTATCCATGGCCTTTTTTGGGCTTATTTATTAGCCATTTTTCGTGTTATATAACGCTCGAGATATTCTGCGACTATTATGTAAGTGCGAAAAACCAATGAGTCTCGAAGAATCATAAAACTTTAAATTAAATAACAATAAAAGGTATTACGTTAGTAGGCGAAAAGATGTTCTTATTTATTATTAAATGAGAAAGAGATCACTGTCAAAACGAAAATCGTGTTTGTATTTTAGTAGATATTCGGAGGGGGGGGGGGGCTAAAAATGTGCAAATTGTATCAGTTGGGTAGTAATAAGGTAAAATCTATCAAAATGTAAGTACTTAGTTTATGGAGAAAACAGACGAAATTGTAAAATTTGTTATGATTATTATTTGAAGATAGGGAGATGCTGTGTGAAAACTTACACAGAAAACAAACCCTTTGAGTGAGTAGAACTACTTTGATTGAATATAAAAAATATTTTTTTGGATTGTATAAATTCATTTTCCACATCCTACATGTATTTGTATAATTTAAACAATGTTTATAGATCCCAGGCCCTGAAGATGATCTCAATAAAGATCGAAACGTTGGCACGATAAAGAAAATGTTTTTCTAAAACCTACGTCACACCAGGCCGCATCTCCAAATAATCATTTACTAACGGTCACTAAACACCACATATTTGTTATGATTCTTTCAAAATTAGCTTCTAACCATTAAATTCGAAGTTTTCCGAAGAATTTTACTTAAAAAATGGTCTTTTAAAACTTGACCATACAGAACCGATACATTAATAATTGTTATAAATTATACTCATTAATCAGCAGGTTGTGATGTTATTTTGAAGAAATAAAATAATTAAATTTAGTTTTAGCGTAAAAATTTCATAAAATGCTCCACTATGCTCGCAGTTTTCACTTCTAGCAATAAATCAAATTTGTCAATTAAATCTTCTCTTCGACAGATTCCAAATTAGAATATTTATTTTATTTATTTTTCTGACGGGAGGACAGGATATGACTTGAAGTGAATATGTTATCGAAAACGTAATAAGTTTGGTTTTCTCTTAGCTATTTTAGCTTTAGAAAGTTCCGAAGGAAGATTTCACAAAACTATGCAGATTCTTCATGTAATTTTTAATAGTTGAAATTGACATTTTCACGAATTAAGGGGAATCACTAAATTTTACTTCAACATCAATACGATACACAAACAATGATCAACGTACTAAATTAAATTGTATCAATAATAACAATTAATATTACAAAATAACACTGGGTACTGTATCCTCTCGTTTTCCACTTTAGACACGATTTTTAAATATTAGAGACGCTAATATTATAAAACTTAACATGCTAGACTTAATTTTTAAAAAAATTACCTACCTTTGTTGAGTATTTCAATGTTATGTAATATTAAACCTTTCGTTGCCAAAAAATTTATATCAGTTGATTTATTTTTTACGTCGTATAGGAAAATGCAGAATCGTATTAAATGTTAACATGAAAAGTTCTCAAAACATAAGCCCAGAAGCTTATACAATAAGCAAGGTAAAAAAATCGAATTATGCACCCTTTAAAGCCCTTAAATAGAAATGTTTACAGATTTTTTTTTTTTTGAGCTGGATCAGCCAGGGTTCTAAACTCTTCTGAATTTAACGTTCATTTAAAATTTTGAAATTGAACTGTGTCTGGGTATCCGTTTAATTTTCAAAAAAAGATCAAAATTTGAAACTAGACTAAAAAATATTAAACACGTATTTTTTTGCTTTTTTGGTGGCGTCATTGCTCAAGAGAAATTCAACCTACAAAGGATACCCGTCATATTTAAATCTATGCTGGTTTGTCGCTCGGTCACAAAATAATTATGTATTTATTTCAATAGATATTTTTGCCATAATATAGTTTAGTGTATATAATAATACCAAATTTTAGATTTGCTTGCTTGCTCGTAGATTGATTCATTCTGTGTTTTAAAGTAGCAAAAAAAATCGTTTTCTCCCGAATTCAAATTTTTGTCAAAAAAAATCCTTTTAAAAGCAAATTGTCCTACTTCCAATCACCTCAGAATTTTTTAGAAAATCACAAAAACTTCGATAGCTTTGAAACGCTTTTCCACTGATCTAGGGGAACATTACAGGGTTTTAGAACTGTAAAATTATTATTATTTGGAGATCGCGAGATGCGGTCTAGTGTGACACAATCCCCCCCCTCAATATTAAAATATTAGTTTAATTTGGGGATTTTGTTTAATTTCAAGTGGGCTGTAGAAAGAAAGTTTTGAAACCTTTTGATATGTGGAATTCTCGTGAAATTTTCTGTACAGTTATTAAACAACCGGTCACTGAAAAAAATGATAAAAAAATAAATAAAACTTTCCCCCAATTTCTGAAGTTCGAAGACAATCCCTCCCAAAAAAATATTAAAATATTAGTTTAATTTGGTACAGTTATTAAAAACGGGTCACAACTGTAGAGAACTATAAATATGAAAAATATGATTATTCAGAAATCGTGAGATGCGGTCTGGTGTGATGTAGGTTTAAGAAAAACATTTTCTTTATCGTGCCAAGGTTTCGATCTTTATTGAGATCATCTTCAGGACCTGGGATTTACAAACATTGTTTAAATTTGACAAATAAATGTAGGATATGGAAAAAATATATAAACATAAAATAGCAATATATCACTGGCACTCTCAACACGACTCGCAAGAATGGCACAATTGCACAGAAAACAAACACTTTGATCCCTGAAGATGATCTCAATAAAGATCGAAACGTTGGAACGATAAAGAAAATGTTTTTTTCTGAAACCTACATCACACCAGACTGCATCTCACGATTTCTGAATAATCATCGACTAACGGTCACTAATCACACATATGAACAATATTTTGATGTAATTGTAAACTAAATATGTGATTGTAAACTACTATTTCCAAACCTAGAGACCAACAAATTTCAGAAAACGTACTCCATCCTTTCTAGTGGTCTTCTATTGTTAACAAGATATCACAGATATT